GTTTTCGGATTACCCCCCACGTCCCGAATATCGTGACCGTACGTCGAGCCGTTTAGATTTGTGTATATATATACGAGTATATGATGCTTATTTCTGCTCGCGCCAACGAGAGTTGCAACGCTATGGTATGTTATGTCGTTTCGGGTTTTCCGCGTTCCGATCGAAACGCATGCGCAGTGGAAACATGGTGGTTGGCGGTGAAAGTGAATTTAGATTCGGCTCTTGAAATTTACACTGTGCACAATGAACTAAGGTATTAGTTTTAATAACGACGCTTGAAAACTATAAATAAGATAAAGGTTATACTACTAAACAAGGCAGAAATGCTTAGATGATCATTTTATTTGAGATATACGTAATTGTTAGGTAGTTTTTTGTAGAGGTACAAGATTTTCCAATGGATGGATCCCAGGCTGTGTATATTGACGTTAGTCACACAGCGTGGTTGGGTTACCGAGCATGTAGACACCATGCTGAATTTGTAAAAAGACCCCCCTCAAAAAAAAATTCAAAGCCTACCTACCTACCCAAACTTTTCAGCCTGGGTCGGGTGAAGGCAAACAAAGATTTTTTTATTGTGGCCCCAGTGCAGTCACAGGCACTTGAAGCGTTTCAATAAAATATAATGCTAAATAAATACGAAATCTATTTACTACCAAATTCTTAAAGGCATAAGGCGTAACAAAAAAAATTGTTTGTTTCCGGTTACCCAACCGACCCTACCAAATAGGGCGTTGTAGACCTTTTTTGTGGTGTTGAGTTCGGAGGGGGGTTTGGTGTGGTGGTTGGTGTGTGGTGTTGGGTGTGTGGTGGGGTGGAGTCAGGTGGGGGGGGGTGTGTGCGGTTGTGTTGGGGGTGGTGGTTGGTGGGGGGGTTTTTGGTGTTGGAGGGGGGAGGGGGGTTTGTTTTTGGTAGGGTTTTGTTGGTGTTAGTGAGGGAGTAGGGGTTGGGGGTTTGAGGCACGTTGGTGTTGGTTGGGGTTGGTTTGGGGTAAGAGGTGGTTGTGGTTTGGTGGGTTGTCACTCACTTTTATGTATGTTTGTTCAAAAATGGGGGATGTCTCCTGCCCCCTGGATCTGTCCCTTGTTTGTATTAGGTAGGCGTTTTAGTTTTAAATTCTTGTAAACTGCGTGTTTACAATATGTACAGTTATGTACTATGTAGTGGTGTCGAGCCGACCTCAACCCGAGTCCTCGAGTCCGGAGGGCTCGAGTCCGAGTCCGAGTCATTGCACTCTGAGGCCGAGACCAAAGAAACCGGCCTCGAGACCTACAACACTGCACAGCACTAACTACTAGGTGTAGGAACCAGCCTGGGTGGGAACCAGAATATATTAGCTATAACTGAAAAGTAGGAGTGTCAAATGGCTGCTACAGTTGTCTTGGCAGTGCAAGAGCTCATCTTCTAAAAACTCATCTTCAGGGGGCATAGCACTGAATTTCTCTTAAAATTAGTATGCATACCCATTTAAAATGCATTCGGTACAAAGTCTGCATAAATTTTATAGAAAATGAAGCTGCCACACAGAACAGGATCAAGAATTCAAATATTTTGCGATTGGTGAACAACTACAGAAAACATGGCCACAGAAAAGCTCAGCTGGATCCATTGGGATTGCAGATACCCAAGTATGTTTCTTTTTGTTTGAAAGTTTCATGTTGTAAAGATATCTCATCCTGTTGTTATAGTGGTTGTATTAGCACACTTGGTATTTCCCCTAGTTAGCCCTTATATACAGGGTTGATTATACATAGCAATTCCTCTATTATAAACTAGCTATCTATATTCAGGGTTCTCCCCAGGCCTTTATCACATGTTGGGTCCGGTATGCCTTCAGAGCTGAAGCTATTGCCTATTTGACAGCCTTGATTTCCAGCTGTGTTTTCACAGCTTGATGTGTACGTCGCCGAACTGATTGTGTTAACCCTGAATAATAAAGCTTATGATATGTGTAATTGACTCCGCTCCTAGAGCCCTACACCATTCGTCCATAAATTATGTGTCTTTTGATATACCCGATGGGGAACTATGATATTATTATATATACTAGCCGGAGTGAATAATGTCAGAGCTGTCATTATTCACCCCCTGATACTAGTAAGTAGTGGTGCAGTTTAAAGACTTATGCTTTGTACTGTATCTAAGCCGTATTTTTCGTATGTACAGATATTTTCGCCAATTCAGACTTGACGGACAATTTCGCGAGTGGTTAATTTTGCGGTCGGTGAATTATCAATTTGGTATGCATTATTATTCGCGTGTTGTTATTTTTGCGGTCGGGGACGCGTTTGCGAAATTCGCGAAAATTAAGCCACCGCGAAATAGTACTTTATGCTTGTGGTTGCAGACCCGTGTCTGAGCTCAACCTTAGTGTCTATGGCTTGTCCTTGGAGGACAAGCAGCCGTATAACCTGCAGGGCATCATGGACACTGGCAAGGAGAGTGCCACTGTCAGTGAACTCGTTGATATACTGGAGGACATCTACTGTGGTACTCTAGCAATCGAGTTCCAGCACCTACATGTATGTCGTATTTCTTTCTCTCTCTCTCTCTCTCTCTCTCTTGCTCTCTCTCGCTCTCACTCTCCCTCTCTTCCTCTCCCTCTCTCTCCCTCTCCCGCTTTCTCCCTCTCTCTCCCTCTCCCCGCCCTCTTCCTTTGCCTCTCCCCCTCTTTCTCTACGCTCTATGTCATCCTGTCTCTCTCTCTCTCTCTATGCGCTCTATGGGTTCATCCTGCGGAGTGTCTCTCTCGGTCTCTCTCTCTCGGGTCTCAATGGGCTCTCTCTTTTCAATCGTCTCTCATCTCTCTCTGCGTCGATGAGCATCTCTCCTTCTCCTCTCTCTGCTTCCTGCTCTCTTCTCTCGAGTGCTCTCTCTCTACCGGATGGTCGTCTCTCTCTCCTCTACGCTCTAAGTCATCCTCTGTCTCTCTCTCTCTCTCTCTCATGCTCTCTCTTTCTCTCTCTCTCTCTGTCGGTATCTCTCTCAATCTCTCTCTCAGAGATTTGAGATATTGCTATATATATATATTATATATACATACAGTGTTTCCCCTGGCCAAAAAGGTGAGCGAGGCGGGAAATTTTTGGGTGGTTGCGCAATCCGAGAAGTGAGGCAATTGTGAGCAACCAAAAAGCTGATGCGCGCATGCTAGGGGGGTCCGGGCGTTCAAATTTTTTACGAAAAAAAAAGGTGCAATTTGGTGGGGCATTATAAAGCTATTCTGAACACATATGAGACTCTTGAATCACTTTTTTTAAGTTGTCAAAAGAGCAAATAAGCTTCTGGGAAAGGTTTTACTTTCGTTTTTCTGCGACTCCCGCCAGTCCTCGGTACCCCCATGAATAGATCAATGCTGCGCAATATACCGCGAAAGTTACCAAGTGGGCCTAGAATTTGAAGTATATACAGTTTACATTGCTTCTAGATATCTAACTGAAATGAAAAATAGTCCACTTTCTCGCGTATAAGAAAACGTGACGACATTCAGTTAACAGCTTTGATTATTGTGCGTGTCAGGTGTCACTGGTCGTTGCCTTCACATCGAGTCAGATAACCCTGCGACAGTAAGAAGCTATTGTTATGCAGGTCATAAAACACACTGGGTTACGTCTCAATAGCATGCGCCGCAAATCGGATTATCTTAGACTGTCAGAGGTTTTGTATTGTGTGGCGAAATCATGGCGTTGAGGGAGTTCATTGCCCGTCGGGGGCTGCTAGTCTAGATATGTTTTGGAACATGGCGAGATAAGACGGCGCGTCCCCCGATTACGTTCAGGGAACGGAGTGTATTAGAATGCGCATCGCCATTTACAATAACTCGCCTAAACGCCATTGTGATATACCCCCGATATACCGTAGTATTCAGTACCAGGTAAGTTAATCATGCAGGGGAAAAAGTGCTGGTCAGGAGTGACGCGACCAGTTTCGTAGAGACTGGTGGCTGACAGCAAAAAACTTCGCGTGGCCTCGGCGGCTACTGGGCTGCGGCACTAATTTGCGAACTGCTGTCATGAAAGTGTAGTTACTTGATGGAAGAACAGTGATTTTTCGTCAAGCGAGGCGGTGTTTTTGATTAAATTTTGGAGTGAGAGTCGTTGGAGGCTGTGCCCGTTGTTCAAAGTTCAATTTCCTGCCCCTGATGTCTCTTGTCTGATCTCTATATCGGAAATGTATTGGTGGGTTATGCATCATCAAATTCACGTTTCAACCAACATTGTAAGCCGGTTATGTCTATATATTTTTCTATAATAGAATGAAGTGGAACGCTCATGGTTGGAAGAAGAGTACGAAAGTGTCCCCCAGTCAAAGATCAGCGATGACAAAAGAAAACAGATATGTGAGCTGATGTTAAAATCTCATGTAAGCCTGCATGCTTTAATAATAATAATAATAAATAATTTAATGCCAGATTTATATAAATCTATAAACAAATGTATGTGACGTTCTTTGCTTGTTTTGTAAATCAGACATAGCGTGCTCCAGTCTTCATACACGAGAGGNTTGCACCTCACTCGCGTGACGACACCCACCACTTGCACCTCACTCGCGTGACGACACCCACCACTTGCACCTCACTCGCGTGACGACACCCACCACTTGCACCTTACTCGTGTGGCGACACCTCACTTGCACCTACGTAGCTCAATGCCCCTCCCCCCACACACACTGCACTAGACCACGCCCCCACACTGCACTCTGCCACACTCCACACTGCACCTCTGCCACACTCCATACTGCACTCTCCCACGCCCCACACTGCACTCTGCCACGCCCCATATTGCACTCTCCCACGCCCCACACTGCACTCTGCCACGCCCCGCACTGCACTCTGCCACGCCCCACACTGCTCTCTGCCACACCCCACACTGCTCTCTGCCACACTCCACACTGCACTTTGCCATGCCCCACACTACACTCTCCCATGCCCCGCACTGCTCTCTGCCACACCCCACACTGCTCTCTGCCACACTCCACACTGCACTTTGCCATGCCCCACACTACACTCTCCCATGCCCCGCACTGCACTCTGCCACACCCCACACTGCACTCTGCCACGCCCCGCACTGCACTCTCCCACGCCCCGCACTGCACTCTCCCACGCCCCACACTGCACTCTCCCACGCCCCGCACTGCACTCTCCCACGCCCCGCACTGCACTCTGCCACGCCCCGCACTGCACCTCTGCCACGCTCCACACTGCACTCTGCCACGCCCCACACTGCACTCTCCCACGCCCCACACTCGCGTGGCGACACCCACCTCTTGCCACCAAACTTTGCGAGTAGGTCGCCAAGACTCGCTCCTAACTGCCGCTGGAAGAACCCGCCGTCGTCTTCGTCGTCGCGCAGTGGGCCCCCCACGCGGTCGTCGAGGCGGCGGCGCGCGGCCTGCAGCGTGTGCAGGCGCAGGCTACACAGCAGCTCTGGCGTGCACGCGTCGTCCATGTGCTCGCGCAGCAGCGGCACCACCTCCGACATGATGCCCGCGAGAAGCTCGGCCAGCTGGTCGTGGTCGGCCCACGGCAGTGCCTAGAGTGTAAGCGTAGCATCAAGTTACATGTATATACGTCAGACGGTACCGCAGGCCTAGAGTGTAAGCGTAGCATCATGTTACGTGTATACATCACACGATACAGACGGCAGCGCCTAGAGTGTAAGCATCAAGTTACGTGTATACATCACACGATACAGACGACACTGCGGTCCTAGAGTGTAAGCATCACGTTACGTGTATACATCACACGATACAGACGACACTGCGGTCCTAGAGTGTAAGCATCACGTTACGTGTATACATCACACGATACAGACGGCACTGCAGTCCTAGAGTGTAAGCATCACGTTACGTGTGTACATCACACGATACAGACGGCACTGCGGTCCTAGAGTGTAAGCATCACGTTATGTGTATACATCACACGATACAGATGACACTGCAGTCCTAGAGTGTAAGCATCACGTTACGTGTATACATCACACGATAAAGACGGCAGCGCCTAGAGTGTAAACATCACGTTACGTGTATACATCACACAATACAGACGACACCGCGGGCCTAGAGTGTAAGCCTCACGTTACGTGTATACATCACACGATACAGACGACACCGCGGGCCTAGAGTGTAAGCATCACGTTACGTGTATACAACACACGATACAGACGACACCGCGGGCCTAGAGTGTAAGCATCACGTTACGTGTATACATCACACGATACAGACGACACCGCGGGCCTAGAGTGTAAGCATCACGTTACGTGTATACATCACACGATACAGACGACACCGCGAGCCTAGAGTGTAAACATCACGTTACGTGTATACATCACACAATACAGACGACACCGCGGGCCTAGAGTGTAAGCATCACGTTACGTGTATACATCACACGATAAAGACGGCAGCGCCTAGAGTGTAAGCATCACGTTACGTGTATACATCACACGATACAGACGGTACTGCGTTCCTAGAGTGTATACATCACGTTATGTGCAGTGTTTGCCACTGAGCAGAAAAAGCTGTAGGCCTGCAGGGCCTATAGCTTCTAAAAGCTGCAGGCCCGCCAGCAAAGCTATAGGCCCGCCAATTTTGGAGCAAATTACAGTAATAAAACAGCATATCATGTTCTTCCTTATGTTTTTAGTCATTATCAATGTCCATAATCATAATCCCTCTGTTTTTCCTTCCTCTCGTCGGATGACTGTTTATGCTTCGTTGCCGGGGGCTCACCAAGGAAACACCACATCGTTATTATATGTAGCTCCTTGGTAACTACGACTTTCCACTTTGACAGCAGAGAGACAGACTGGTAGTCTGGTACACATCAGGGACTTCTATGGGGGTCTGGGGGCCAGAACATTTTTGAAAATTATAAGCTCTGAGATGCAATCTAGAGCCATTTCAGGGCAATTCTAGCAACACTTTTTGGTGGAAAAAGAAAAAATTATGTAAAATTTACCTACTGTAAAATTTTGATGGGCACTGGGAATTCCGTCTGTGTTGAGTGTGTCCGAAGTAAATGTATTTTGTAGACATACAAGCTCTTACGTAGGGAAGCTTTTATTTAGCTACACCCTGATTAAATGTATATAGTTTTTCCAAACGTTAAAAACAATATGACACGGTTAAACCTGAGTGGTGCGAAGAGGCTGTACTGCTGTTTGCCTGACTAGTAAGTAATACGCCGTGCTTTGCAGATACAGTGACTTAATTATGACATGTGTGTTAAAACTTGAGACAATTATTATTATTTACTGTATAATTCAACATGATATATTATCTAAATCTTCTTTAATATTATTTTAAAACAGTATACTGATCGTTTGTAATAACGACCAGTGATACTTTATTGTTTACATCCAAACGTGAAATGCGCGGGGATGTGAAAATTACTCCACAACCTAGCGCACGTGAACAGTGAGCGTGCTGCACGACCCGTGCACGTAAATAAACCCTGGCCAACACAATGTAGGGTTCACTACAACTGGCCAAAAGTAAGCTCCACCCACTTCTTATCGATTTTTGGTATGCCAACGCTGCTACTGGATGCAGGAACCTGCTGCTAACCTGTGCGTCCGAACATCCCACGCACGTTTCTTTGAATGCCAACTAAAGTTGATTGCAGTGGGCGAACGCATTGTATACATGTATGTCACGGTTTATCACGGATTAGTTTTCAAATAAATACAGCTAGAAGTTAATATGCATGAACAGATTTCTACAGGTAACAGTTTCTTAGTGTTTCGAATTTTCGGTGGTCAAATAGCTGTAGGATCAGCGGGCCTGTTGCATCAAGAAGCTGTAGGCCCGGCATCGAAACTGTCGGCGGCGGGCCGACGGGCCGACGTGAATTTCGAACACTGGTTATGTGTATACATCACACGATACAGATGGCAGCGCCTAGAGTGTAAGCATCACGTTACGTGTATACACCACACGATACATCACGCGATACCTTGCCCATTCCATTTTCCCGTACCTGTTCACGAGCCTCGCTGTCGTCTCCATGAGCCTCGGCTCCCTTGCTGCCTCGCTTCCTGTCAGAGAGATTCAACTGCCGAATCTTGTTGCGCAGGCTCTCGTACTCTCGCATCTTCAGCATCGCCTGTGGAGGACATGTTGATTAGCAGGTGTTATGTTACACTAGTATTACTTCTCTCTCGCCATCTCTATCTCTCCTCTCTTTCCTCGCTCCATCTCTAGGGACAGTGATTTTCCGTTTCAAAAAATTTCCGTTTGGGAAATTCATGAATTCTGTTCCAAAGTAAAGAAAAAATGGAAATTCCGTTTTGCCATGGAGATTGTACACACCAAAAATGCAAAATTCCGTTTACATATATTTGCATGAAAAAAAGCATTTGGTACAACCTTTGAAACCGAAACCGGCACCGAAACACAGGGCTACCAAAAGTCGTAATTGTAAGTCATTTCGCTCTGAAACTTGTCTGAATGTAAACCATATCATTGCCAATGCTATTGTCGACTGTTTTTGTGTGATTTTATTAAAATTTTCCTTCCAAATTACGTTTTCCGCGTTTTTCCGTTTGAAAACATCTTTTCCGTTTCCATTGGCCGTTTCCGTGTTTTCCGTCCGTTTCCCGCGATCGCAGAAAATCACTGTCCCTACATCTCTCTCTCCCCTCTCTTTCCTCCCTCTTACTCTCCCTCTCTCTCCTCTCTCTTTGCATCCTTGCTCTCCCTCTCCCACCTTCTCTCTCTCTCTCTCTCTCGCAGTCTCTTCGCTTCCTCTTCCTCTCGCTTTCTCGCTCCCTGCCTCTCTCCATCTCTCTTTCTCTGTCTAGGACCATTCTTCTTGTTTTCCACCCCACCGAACTCTCTTCACCCTCTCACCTGGTCAAGATGAATGACCGTGTCACCCAGAGAATCGCTGGCAAAGGGGTCTATACTGCCGGAGCACGGCGTAGACATGGAGTCTCCAAGCTCGCCTGACGTGTCCTCCTGCCTATCAGCAGCGTCTCCGCACGCTTGATCCGCACGTGTCTGCAGAAGGACACACGGTGATGAGACACAGGACTAGCCACAATGCTGCGCAGCTATTGTACGTATTAGCAAGTTACACCACTGCTAGCCACATAGTTAACAGCAATTATAGAATAATTGCCATGATATATGATATTAACATATATTAATACTATTAATTTATAATTAACCGAATTAGGTTAAAATGATAAGAAAACAAATGTTCATGCGTGTTCAATAACAAAAAAAATTCACAAACACACACATTCAAACCGATTCAAAAGCCATGTATTTAGATGCAATATAAAATTATTAGGGGTGTAACGATTTAGCGATAGGTGAATCGTGAAACAGCGGCCCAAGGTATGATCATTGATATGCAATGTCTAGATCGCGATACAAACGATACAGCTGTTAAACAGTAAATTAGGCAAGCTAAACTATTTAATAAAGCACATGTAATTCCTTTTAAATTGAATTTATTCTTTTATTTCATGAACTCCCTCTCAGTATGAGGTAAATATCCTCGCCCGTCGTAGAAATCTGGGACAATATATGTGGGGTATTGTTGCCAAAATTGTTATCGCAAAACAATCAAGAGAGCTGATTGACTGGTGTGTTTCCTTACTGCGCACGTACTGTAGCACTCACTGTGTATGGCGTGCATGTGAAAGAGTTGTCAATTACAGCTCAGTCTGGAGCACATTCAGAACGTCTCGATATGTTTACTATATATTTCTTATATATAGTAAAGATTTCGAAACTCACTGTTGTTTTATGACAATTTAAATTTGTAGGTCGAAACAGTATATATATATATATATATATAGTGTTATACTAGCATACCATACTCAACATTCTAGTGCATTTTATCCCTATCCTTTTAATTATAAATTTACAAATAAACAATAATAAAAAAACATTATTAATTCGTACATGATATGACAAACTGATCATAGCATGTAATTTACAATACTGAATAGCTCTCTTTCTGTTTGTGTATCGCAATATGTATCGAGATGCGTATCGTATCGTGACTCTAGTGCAGGGTGCGAAATTAATGGGAGTCCGGGGTCAAATACTCCCTGATTTGACATATGCAGGAGTCCATGTGACTCTCTGAAAATTCTGCCATACTAACTAGTTCGTTCCGGAGCACGGCCTCGCGTCTTTTTTTAGGTCATGTGCAAAGAAAATTTGGCAGACGTGCAATTGCATGAATCTTAAAAATAAGCACATGCGTTATTGTTAATATTTTTAATTTTGAACCTCAGACTGCGGACTCCATGATTTTGCTGCAGACTCCCTCTTTTTGAGGGTACGGAGTCTGTTGGACTCTCTTGTTCAAAAGTTAATTTCTACCCCTGCTAGTGTATCGTTACACCTCTTAAAATTACTGCACACACAAAGCTGGCCTCGGCATATTAAACGACTTTGTCGCATGAGCAATGCTGGCCACAACCTGGCAGCAACCGATTCCCGCACACCACAGCGGAATCCGCACACAAACGCAAAGACAATGATTGCCGCTGCACCTGCAGCAACGGACGATAAAGACAGCAGAACTTACGAGAGAAAAGCTCGCTTCGGGGTGACACGTGTACGAGTCGTCGTCATGCCGACGCGCATAGCCAGCCTCACTCCGCAGTAACCAATCGGGCTTCTGCGGTCAATGCAAAGACCAACAGCGAGTTAGACAACAAGAGCAATTCTGCACAAGACAAATTCTCACACTGTAATGCGAGTCGTGGCTAGCGTGGCAAACATTTAAAACAAGAGAACAAATGCCATACACCATTTGTAAATGTATCGTTTTGTTTTATCATCGGTAGATAATTAATGATTTTGACGTGTTTCTCAAGAAAAACACATTTTATTCATTATTATCAAATATAATATCACTATAATTGTAATTCGTAGTGTAAATGTGTTATTTTCAACTTAATATTAAAGTTACGAGAGGGACTGGGCTCTCGTAATGTTAAGAGAATATTTTTGAGGATTTTTCATTCTCGTAACGTTGCGATATTTCTGTCAACGGTTACGAGTGGAAGTTAATGTTAGGACTAATGTTAAGACTAATTTTGTTTCTGACAACGGGCCCCCAAATATTTTTTTTTATTAATTTTGAAGTCTTCCCCACAAAAAAATTTAAAAAAAAATTTTGGATCCAGATCTGGATCCGGATCACCACCAAAATTTGGTCGTGACCAACACGCATGTATTGGTTGTTGGCCCAACTCCAACCTGTCCAAAAAAATTCATTAAAATCAATCCGTAACCTTTTGAGATATCCTGTTGACACGCAACCCAACAAACAAACTAACAGGGGCGAAAATATGCAACCTCGACACTAGGTAATTAACCTATATTAGCATAGCCGTTACATGTCTGGATCCACCAATCTTTGGTTGCAGCCACGGCGGCGTCCTAGCCACTTACTCGCACATATGTGAATAAAAACCCGAGCTGCCTATCTTTACCGCAAAAAGGCCTTAACTTAAGACCACTAAGATATGCCTTGTCTCTACCAACTTTCCCCCAAACAACCGGCACTGACATCAACTCCCTTGATCACCTTTCTACTTCAGTGTTTTTTCTCGGGGTTTTTACAGGGAGGTTGTCTTTGAGTGGAACCGAATTCTAAAACCTAGGTGGAGTGCCTGCCTAACCAGGGCACGTGTAATTTTTGTTGTTAGGTATTTTGGGCCTTATAGGCTATGCAATTTTTGAGCTTATTATTATGGTCCATTACTACATTTATTATTAGGCCTTATTCTTATTTTGAGGAGTCAGTTCAAATGTAATAAGAATTGCCTTAAATATAGAAAACCTACATATCCTATTTTTCCCTGAAAATACTGTTTTTTAAACAATACGATCTGAGAAGCATGGAAGTAGGTCTTTCCCACACACTAAAAACAACCCCGTCCACTCACCAGCTCGTTTTTGATCTTGTCGCGACCGCTGCCCGCGCTGCCGCCGTCCTCCTGCAGGTAGCGCGCGACGAGGTTTCGCAGCTCGTAGAGCGCCCTCTCGCGGAGGTAGTCGGTACCGAGCATCTGCAGCTCGCGGAACAGTTCGACGAGGAAGCGTGGCCGCGACTCGTTCTGCGAGATGAGCATCGCAACCTCGGCGTAGATCGACTCCTTCAGCGAGTCGAACAGCGACTGGTTGCTCGGCGCGTCCGACTCTCTGTCGGCAATAATCATTAATCAATAATCAATAATCAATAATCAATTTTCAATACGTGATAAAAACATGCAGCGTCATTTCAAATAGATGAGTTGAACAGCCACTGTTTGCTCGTCGCGGCCGGCTCTCTACCAGCGGAAATATTAATAATCAATTATCACGAAATCAATTTTCAAAACATAAAAAAAACACGCCATTTTAAATAACGAGATTTTCAAACAGTGACTGGTTGCTTGGTGAGTCTGACTCTGAAGAAGACCATTAAATGAGACCGGTGGGGTGAAATCAAGGTGACTTACATGCACTGCAACTTATAATTTAAATGTTCTGCAACTACAAGTTAAATGTTCTACATAAATGTTCTGCAACTTACAAGTTGCTGTGCAACTTATCACTTGAGGTAAATTATAACTGCAACTAACTTACATGTCGCTGTTGATCCTCTCTACATTGCCAGCATCCTCTCTCTGACTAGACATTGCACTCGCAGCACTCGCAGAGTCCAGGAATGTTGTTCCACAGATGCCACTGCTCAGCCCAGGTCTGTGCTGCTGCATCACAAAGCTCTCCGCTGCAGCCGCAGACGATTGCATCGGCGCAGGATATGCGAGACCGTAAGCTAATGGAGCAAACACAGACTCGCGTGAGATTCTGCCATTACCTAACTCCCTAATAACATTAACTAACTCATTAACCAACTCGGTCATTAGCAGAGTGACGTTCAATATTTATCGTACATAGAAAACCCCCAAAATCAATATTAGTGGGAGAACAACAAGACGATTAGCGATTAATACCTGGCCTAGTGTGTGTTATAGTATTTTATAAGAATTTGGAAACCACACATTACTTGTACTATGGTAACCAATAAATACATTTACAATAAAGGTTAACAAGATCAGTGGGGAAAACAAAAAAACCGATCCTCGACTAATATCTTACTCCCGTGTTTGTTACAATATTATTTAACATTTTGGAAAAACACAAAAAAAATACTTAAGCCACTTTAAGAGAAAATACTTTTACTTCACTTGTTACTTTTTGGCACTTGTCGCATCCATACTGCTCGGCACTAACTTTACATCTCAATGCGATTGAGTTATAAGCTTTTAAACCCACACAGGGTGGGCCAGGGTGGTGCAGTGGGCACTGCATCCCGTAGAGGCGGTTCAGGCCTCCACTACACACATACAGGGTCTCCAACCTTGTGAACTCCAAATGCGGAATGAAATTGATGGACGGGGGGGGGGGGCGAAATTAACATTGGCTGCCGCAGGCAGGCCCGCGTGCCGTAGGCATGCCAGTGCTAGGGGGGTCTGGGGGCATGCCCCCCCAGAAAATTTTGAAATATTTAAGCCATTTTCCTGCAATCTGAGTCATACTGTGGGCCATATTCTCATGTCTGATGAAAACTATCTCAACCCTAGACTCAACCCTACAAGTTATTTTTCAAAACCCAATCCACCACACCTCATTTTTAATAATACGTGTATTTAGTATCCAAATGAAATCTAACATGAACTGGTATTTTCAGAACTCGAAGAGGAAATGGCTCCATTAAAATATAGGATTAAATATTTATTTAACAGACAAACTACGCGACACCTTGTAGACAGCGCCTGTCTGACTAGGCTGTTCCATTTACCGTAGACATGCCAGATACAAAATGCATACAGAAACACATTATAACACTGAGCGATGGTAGGGGGGGTGCAAAACTAAGGTAATGGCAGAGTGTTCATTTCCAAGAAACGACTCGCGCGGTGACGGCTATTAATAACTTGCTGCATCTCTGAGTACTGCACCAGCGCGTGGCCAGTGCCAGGCACCGGCTCAAAAAAATACAATGTGTCCAAGCGAACAATGCGAACAATCAGTGCAAATTTTATACAGTGCAACTGAAATGCGGAATATAACCTTGCCGCTGCGGAATGCGGAGGTTAAGCCTAGAAATCGTAATGATTCCGCAGAATGCGGAATGGTTGGAGACCCTGCACATACACAGAAACTGCAAGGGTATGTACTCACACAAGTTGGCCTTGCTAGAAGTGTCGGATGCTGCTTCCGAATCCTCCACCCTCCGCCGCTTCTTGTTCCGTATCACCGCGTCAAGATTCAGCTTCGGGATTGTCTCGGCGGCGGCAACGCGGGTGGGGGCGCCACCGTCGTCCACCTGCCGGGACACGCCGGGCATAGCGGCATTGTCATAAAGCGACGACTCTGCGGATGCCGTGTCTGACGGCTCCACCTGGTGGCAGAAATCGGTCATAATTTCACAATCCAGCAAAATGACCTATTATTTAGATATCGCTAAATTACGTAAATTTATGTAAAATACTAGATACAGTCAAATTAAACAAGTGTTAGCTGATATGTCTACAGAATGGATGTACCTGCCTATGAAGAATGCCTATGAAGTTTTTCTCAAACTGCAATTATACAGTCACAACACTTCTACAACACAGCCACCAATCTGTTAAGCGCACTTTTACCATTTCCGTTCAACTGAGGCTTTTAAAATGTAGCGGGAGCATGCAACACTTACAATTACACCTAAACAACGATTCATAGAGATATGTTACAACATTACTGCTGCATTGGTTGCGTGTCTTCCAGATTTATTATCTACAAACATGCTCAACACAAGCCAGGATTGAAGTGAATCACGAGCCGCAGACACTTCACTTTGTTTTACATTCTCAATTATTTTTCATGGCACGTGGTTATTAGGAGTTTCGATCACAAGCTGTTTTTCAGAAGAGATGATCAACTACTTGTCTTCATAATTGATTAATCAATTGATCAACAATCATCAATCAATCACTCAATAAATAAATAAATAAATCGGTAAAAACCATAGAAAATAACTCAACTGACAATCCACTAACCTTGATGTTCGAGTTCCACGCGAAGCTCGGAGGATGAGGATGAGGATGCTGCTGCTGCTGCTGCTGCTGCTGCTGCTGCTGCTGCTGCTTCGCTCTCGCGCTCTCGCGCACAGTGAACGTGTTGTTGCGCACCATGTGCGCGGGCGGCGCTGGCGCCGGTGGTCGCCGTGACGATGACGACGACAACGAGCGCTCCGTGTTCTCCGTGTGCCGTGTCAGCGGCCGCTGCAGGTCGTTGTGGATGCTGCGCTCGTTGATGAGACGCGGCGTCGCGCGCCGCCGCTCGCCCTCGCCGCGCGCCACTGTGAACGTGTCGCTGCGGCCGAGCCGCGCCGCCGACACGCTGCAAACGCCGGCGCCCCCTAGGTTGTTCTGCGCATTCGTCGCCGTCGTCGTCGTCACGACGAGATTGTTGAACGGCGTCGACGGCGGCGGCGGCGCGCTGAAGTTGTTCTGCGCAGCGGCGCCCCCTGGTGTCTCTCCACCGTAGAAGGACGACGGGAACTGTGTGCGCAGCGAGAACGTGCTCCCGCCGGCATACGCACTCGGGTAGGTGGCGCCGAGGTAGCCCGACGTCGGCAGCGGCGATGGCAGCATCGGTGGAGGCGGGGGCTGCATGTGCACGTAGTACGGGTTTATCCACGGCGACGGTGGCGGATATGGCGGGTACCACACCGGCGGCCAATAACTGTAGTCGGCTGCTCCTCCCCCTGTGGCGGCAGCGGTGGGGGCGGACACGCCGGGCGTACGGGGAGCGGCGGCGGGGTCGGACGACGGCTCGAGGTGACGTGGATCGAGCACGACAGGGGACGCCTGCGGCTGCCACTGCTGCCGCACCTGGTTGTTGACGGGAGACGGCTGCACCGTGTAGCACTGTCCGAGAGTCTGCTGCATGCCCGCCTGTGGAGCGGAAGGTACGAGAAATTACGAAAAGTCCCTGAAATTGGGCGAGATTTGAATGAAATTTTCGCCATCACTAGCATTTGGAGTCTGACATTGGAACATTGGTAATTACAAAAATACCTTTTAATTTCCTAAAACAGTATTGACATGACGGTACACTACAGGCTGGTAATTTCACAGCCTACTACTCAATATTCGTGCACCCCACCTCTCAAAACATTTCTTAGTGAATGTATATGGACTGCATTGATAACCAAGATGTCAAAAATGAGCGGGGGAGCGGAAGATTTGCCACACCTGCAGGTGGTGTAGCTTCTGCTGCTGCTGGTGAAGCTGCTGGTAGCACTCCTGCAGGTTAGCAACGAGACCCGGACTAGGAGGCACAGCACTCCCTGCGATGCAGCAAAATAATTAAAACACTCATTAGGGAATTGCACGAGTCAACATAGCTCCGCGTGCCATTGCAGAAAATGTCAAACTTTTCGACGTGCATGTTCTAAATGTGGAAAAATTTCTCAATCGTTCCACACTTCTTCTGCCAAGCCCTATGGGGTGTTATGCATTAGGAGCTCATTGCGTCTAAAATTGCCGACTTGCTACCGAAATGCATATTCTCTCCAGGAACCCACGCACATCATGCACATACTCATCCATTCTATTGTTATGTATTATTCCTTACTAAATACGAGTTGTTTATGCTGGCTCTGCGGTTGTTTTACTTAGTTTATCCTAGTTCCAATAATCAAAATAATCGTTCAAGACATCCGGGCCCGTAACATTACCACTTTGTATCCGTGAGCTATCTCCCCCCCCCCCTGCACGCCGTCCGCTGCCTCCGTCTCGCTCGTACCTTGAGAGCCGGAGCTCTGTAGCAGGTAGTTGAGAGCGTGCGAGTCCTGCAGCAGCGACTGGTAGAGGGCCTGCGTGCTGTCCAGCTGCCGCTGCAGCACGTGAACCTGCTCGGCCATCCCCGCCGAGGGTCGCTGCTCCTCCACGTCCGGCAGCAGCGTCCCGTCGTCCGCCTCCTCCACCAGGTCACCGGGCGGCCGAATGTTCTGAGAACAACGCCGGATTATAGGGTGGGATCTTTCAAGGGACAACATCTCGCAGATATACTCATGCTCCTAGTTTGACCCCAAAACGCTGCCCAATGACGACTGACAGGGACAGCGCTTGCTAATGGTGAAGTCACAGCACGTTGTATTGTAATGCATAGCAATGCCCTGCCAGTGCACACATGGGCGTCAGGGTGGTCATCTGCTTAGGGACAACATCTGGCATATATCCTCATGCTCTTACGTTGACCTCAAAACACTGCCAATTGACAACTGACAGGGCTTGCACAGGCTATTTTAATGGTCAGATCACATTACATGCTGTAATACTCTCCATAGCTACCTGCCAGTGTACCCATGGGTGAATCGTCTTTGTAGTGGCCGTCTAACAGGAGCATCTGTGAGTCGAGCCTAGTACTACCCATACATGTTGCTACACATAGGTTTGGGGGAAATCAGAGGTAAACTGATGCACTGTGCCACTGGATGTGATATGTACCCATGTACATACCCACGAGGAACCCAGTACAATGTACCCGCCTTGAACAAACACCAACAAAAATATCCCATCCAGACTGACAGTTGGACATTTCAACAACTGTTCAATAATAGCAGGCGTGAAAAAGGTCAAACTAATTGAAAGAGGGACTTGTCTTTTGGCAAGGTGTCACCATATAGTTTACTGCAGGTAGAGACTCAAACAGGAATCCATTTATATCCAGAGCCCAAGTCAAATCCGCAGACCACATCTTGTCACGATTGTCACCTTGATTTTCATGCTAGTCTTAGCAACCACAAGCATCTAGCAAACAAGAAGTACAGTTCTGACTTGCTTGGTTTTGATAATATTTCGTTTACATGCAAATTAAATAATTAATACAACTTTTAAGAAATGCTAATAAAAGAATACAATTAAAAATTTCTCATAAACATTGGGCAAATTTTCATACAACAAAACAATATTACACACACGCACGCACGCACGTGCACCGACGGACGGACACACACACAGACCACCCAAACGTTCTACAGACAACACAATCGGAAATGAATCAAAGTATAAACGTAAATAAAATCACTAGTAAGCATATATAAGGAGACGTACTACCTCTTGTCTGGTGCGGTTCTGCACACGGCTGTTGTTGAACACTGACGAGGCTGCTGACACATTAGACAGGTTCCGGGGCCTACTGACTGCTGTGGCATTATTGCGCGCACCTGTAATAAAGCAGATAAAGGGTTAGCATTTGATAAAGTTTCCCAAGCATTTTCTAGCACCCAGTGGGTCCATTTTCAAGAGCAGATAAATAATAGCAAATATTCCCAACTTTCTAATATAAGACCATAGCTTATTTTTCAATATTTTCCAGACACCTTGAAAATCAGAAAATCGGACTTTCTCAGGCTTAGAGGTAAGGTTTAAATACCCTGTCTGTCCGGGGCCCGTACGAGGCCCGCATAAGTCGTGTGCGGCAGCACGAGCTGCAAGGCAGACACGCGAGCGAGCGGCCGTGGAGAGATGACTAATCAGGGGCGATCAATCACTCACCCGTGACGTCAACGGCATTGCGTTTGTGGTTGACAACCTCGATGACGGGTGCCACGACGTCCCGACTCTGCGTTCGGTATTCGCTCTCGACGGTGTACGTGTTCGTGTCGTCGCCGTCGTCGTCGTTCTCCTCCTCCTCATCATCGTCGTCCTCTATGCACTGGTTGCGGTCATAGTCTAAAACGCAGCAGCAGTAGCATATTCACTAACGTTACAGCTTGATGGCATCGAGTGATGAGCTCTTCAAACGGGGTAGTGAAGTGAAACTACGTTCCGTAAGCGCTCCGAGCTTTCTAGTACACAAATGAAACTTGACGCTCAGAATTGTCGAAAAGGCGAATTATCCTTTAGATTATTTGTGAATTTTGCAAAACATTTCAGTGTGGGCTGGCTTACTGTCGTTTTGATCATTATTATCATTCTCATCAATGTTATCTAGGTCCACGGTGCTACTTCCACCCCACGTTGCCATGGTGACGTCCGCACTTCTTACACTTGTGCTGAAATGCGATGAAGAAATCACACATTTTTATGTATTATACAACATGCCATATATACGTACTGTATTTACGTAAATATTTTATTATTTACATATTTTAAATATTTATGTATAAATTTGTTGTAAATATTTACAAGTGCAAACTTATTACAACTGTGCTATTATGCACTATCGCTACATCCACGCGAGCAGACTCGCAAAATCCAAAACACGACCGTGAATCGACACGCCAGCATCCGTCCCGCTCACCCGAGCGTCTCCGACTTGATGGAGAACGCGACGCTGTCGCTCTGGTTGTCCTGGTTACGGTTGTAGATGCGCTTCTGCTTGTCCTTGCGCATCATCGCCTCGAGCTCCCGCTTCTTCTGACGCAGCTCCTCACGCAGAATCAGACGTCGCCGCATCTCCGACCACACCTCCTGATTCGTCGTGTACACGCCTGCGCTCGCCGGTGAAGGTGAAGAGCAAGGGGCAATTAATTTAAAGGGCAATTCATTTTTAGGACAAGGAAGGCGTTACTTCGACTTACTTCGATGGGTGGACAAAGCCACAGATGGACAGATGGATGGATGAATGGATGGAACACATAAACAATTAAACATACACAAACACTATGCACGAAACTACCAGCACAACAAATTAAGATGTAAAGTTATCCTAAATATTTATATATGTTCGATACAACTTGTTTTTCACACGCATGAAGATGCACGCACCCTCTGCACTATGCTGCTCGATGGGTGTTCTTCCACTAGACTGGTTCAGATCCATGGTGGGTGATTCCCTGTCACCTGCCACGTTATTTCTTCTTTGCTCCACTGGCAGCTCATTCTAAAGTTGTAGAGACCAGTTTTTTGCATAATCAGAACATCCCCCAAGATAAACCAAATACATAACCTAATACTACCCTAGTTACCCCACTCCCCCACATGCGGCATAGACACCCATAATCCTGGCCACAACTAGAAATTATCAGGTAATTAACTTACAACACGCACGTTTTTTATGCTGTAGGCAGCAGAGTCATGTATCTTCATTAAATATGTGTCGTAGAGTCTCATCACTATAGAGCATTTCAATCAACCAGCGAAACAACACAAACCAGATTTTCACACAAAGCCTAACATAACAAGAACATCACCAAAGACTGTATACAATAAGACGGGACACTCGCTACGCTCGCCATCTTAAAATTATGTCCCACACATAACACCAGCGCGGACCAATGGCGACTTAGTATCTGCAGGTTACCAGCCGATTGATAGTAAATCGCTGTATGATCACATTGTTGTTAGTAAAGTTGTTGAATGTGCACCTTCAGAAATCGAACATTTGGAACGAGATTGCAAGAGCACACATACATTTCACAGTTCATATCATCAAACGATGTGACAGTAACCAGTTGGCCGTTATTACACACGAACGTGAGGGCAAGCAAAATACGATCAGTCGTTCCAATCAGCAGAGATGTAGAACTCACCCTGTTCTTATCAGGAAACTGCTGATGCAACTTGTCGATCTCCTTCTGTAGGTCGGCTAGTTGAAGCCGGTCCGGCAGCAGGTGTTCCAGCTCCTCCTGCTGATGCTCCCCCAGCTGAAGCAGCGACGACGACGTCGCAGCAGCAGCCGGCTCCTTCTGTAGTGCCCTCGGGATCACCTACCAATGCCAACATGATGCTCGTTACACACTCAGTGAGCTTTTAGGGTTAGGGAAGTTGAGTGTTTGAAGGATTGTTTGAGGGAGTGTTTGAAGGAGGGGTGGTCCTTGCATAGCCTTCTGTAGCACCCACAGGATCACCTACTAAGGCCAACACACATAAATGATGCTCATTGCACACACAGGAAGCTTTTAGGGCGTTTGAAGAAGGGGTGGTCCTTGCATAGTCTTGGTATCATAGGTAGACTAAGATTAGTAAATAAAATGTTCTTGTTCTATTTTGGTGTGCCGTACATTCCTACCCTCAAGAATCAATGTTAACCTTGCGGTCGCGGGCAACGTTGTTTTCTCAGTCCACAAAACTCCACGCTGTCATGATAATCAATCACCAATAATTATAATAATGGCAGGCATCAATTCTGTGTAAAGGGATGAAACTGCCCATTATCACAGCATACCACATAAAAACACTTGGCCTCCCCTTTCAACAAAACTCAACAAACAGAAGATTCTATAATAGGTATACCACAACAACTGGAAATATCTGGCAGGAGTGGGATATGAGGAACCCCACTCCATCAAAACTTATCGCTACCGCACTTGCCTCGCCTTCACTCAACATGCTGGCGTCTAGCGTCAGGTTGTGCTCATCCACTAGCTGGCTGTCCGTCTCTGAACCAATGTTAAGCCTAGCTAGCCTATCAGCTATCAGGCCAGACGGCAGGTCGGCTGAATTCTCCAACAGCAAGATCAAATCTTGAATGTCTTTCAGCTTGGCCTTTGTGGACTGTAACTTCCTGCAATCGTATGATTTTAGCATAAAGCAACAGGAAATACAAGAACAGTAGATATAAACAACAAGTGCAACTAACCACTATTGCTGATAAGGTTATGAAAATTTTTTAGAGGCGTTATAGATATAAGATATATATATATATATATATATATATATAAAATATAATACTACAAGCTCAAGTACAGTCAAGTAACATCAAGTACTCAGCTGGAATTTTTGCATAAAATCGACATCCCATATTACAAGAACACTTCATATCGACGGTGATATAAGCACAACTAGTGACTATTAATGGTAACTTTATGGCAAACACCTAGACATCACAATGCTCCTACCCACCCTCGTTCGATAGCTCACCTTTCCTTCTCACGTATAACTGGGTCAACTCCGTAAGCGCCACGCAGTGCCAGGTTGCTGCTAGTCTGCGAGAACGTGTCGTCCTCCTCGGTGGCGCCCCCGATCGAGACGTTCAGCGTGTCGCGCTCGGCCGGCAGCTTGACGCGCCGCTGCTGCTGGCGCTCTATAGACCGCGAGCGGTTCTTCTCGCGCGATGGGTTGTCCTCCTTCTTGCTCTTGATCGGCACAATGTGCGGCGGTGCGGCGCCAGTCTCTCTGCTCAGTGGTCGCTGCTGCTGTTGCTGCTTCCTGCTCATCGTGAGAAATTAAATTAAATTAATGTAATCATGAATTAGTGAAAACAACGGTTTCTATAATAAAGCTACTGAAAACAAGTGCCGCATAGCGACAGCGCTCATCTAACGTCTACTGCGGTGACTCTGTGGTGGAGTGGTGGGATTCTAGTAAACCCTGTTAGTCCCAAATGTGTTCACATACACGCCGAAATAGTGGAATGCACAGAGATGGTATCAGGAACCTTCTCAAAAGAATGTTCGTTGGGATCGTTATGAAAGTTGCCACGAGATGGCGCGTACGTTTAAGTGTCTTCAGATTAAAGATGGAAGCTCCCATCATTCGTAGTAGCAACAACTATTTGCAAGACAGAATAGGTAAGCACTCATCCATTTACCTACGCAAGCCTACAGGCTGCAAATAGAGAGCTGCCACCTGCAACCAATTAACGCAGGCAAAAACTGCCCCAACACATGCACTCATTGCACTGGCAGCAGCCAGTACGTTACATGTAACATACTGACACTACAGAATGCCATATAAATTATACGATTTAAGGAGCATAAACCTTCTTTAACCAAATTTAGCTTTTGAAATTTCACTGTGACATTGTAGCCTCATACATCCAGGCATGTATAGATTCTACTAGCAAACCCGGCAGTCAAATTCTTTCTAACAGACAGTCAACAAATCCATGTTTAACCCTCCTCTTGAGGGTCAAAAGGTTATCCGACACTTACTCTTCGCATGTCAGCAGAAGGGACATTTCATGGTCCTTTCAATAAAGCCATAAAAATGCTAGGTCACCGCTGAAACAAAAAAGTTTTTCAATCGCTCCGTCAGACCATGTCCTCAGAAAATGTCTAAAATCTGCCCTGTGCCCATTGACCTTTGACCTGTGACCTCCAATTTCGGCACAGTGATGGCTTTTCCTACCATGATGCTATACACCGACTATCACGAGCCTAGGTCGAGCCGTTTAGATTTGTGCCGCAATTCTGCATTTCCTCCCTATACCTTAAGTTAAGGAGTGAATGTTCCCCCTTCTTTTACACCTCTTGACCTTTGACCTTTGACCCCCAGCTTCGACATCCCAACTCGTTTTGACGATCCCCCCCAACGACCCGAATATCGTGACCGTACGTCGAGCGGTTAAGATTTGTGCCCAACTGTTGACGGACGGACGACCGGACGGACGACCGGACGGACGGACGGACGATCATGCGATTCTACAAGCTGCATCTGACTATGTCAGATGAGCTAAAAATTCAGTTTGGTTTTATGTAACAATCTGTTATGTAACTACATTACCATTCTAAAATATGTATTTATTACAAATATAACACGTTATTTTTTTAATAAATATATAGTTTAGAATGCTAAGGTAGTTATATAAAAGATTGTTAACTGACTAACTATTTAGTTAAGTCATTTAACAATCTTTTATGCAATCATTTGCAATCACGTTGAGATTGATGTTGTGAACAAATACAGTTTAAACTGTATTTGTTTACAACAACAATCACAACATGATTGCACTCTGCGGCCCCGCTCACACCTCAGGTTGTGCCGGACATTACTGGAGTCTTGCTGCTGCTGCTGCTGCTGCTGCTGCTGCTGCTGCTGTGGGTCGGGATGAGGGTGCGGAGGGTTTGCGTGCGGGTAGCCGGCCACATCAGCCAGGTTCTCGTCTGCCTCATTGATGACTCCCACCAGGTCAGTGTTGCTGTTCTGGAAGTACTCCACCAGCATGCGTAGCTGGTCCAGTCGATCCCGCACCTCCTCCAACTTCCTGCAAGGGCCAACGACAGACAGCACACGTCAAGGCACGCTCGCATTGGAATTTGGATCGTTGTGAGGGCTGCAGCAGCTGCGAGGTCGGTTAGTGACCTGGTTGCTATATTTTCTCGTTTATAGTTCTTGATTGCTTGTTTGTTTGCTCTACTCGGCTTAATTATTGTCGCTGTGTTAGTAACAGACATCGAGTTTAAACTTCGGCTTTCGTTTAACTTTTGCTAATTCTCGAAAGCCAATGAAACTTCGTTCGCTGTAGAATCATGTGCGCGCGAGATAGGGAAGTTAGCATAGCTATGAAAGGGCGGTGGGAGCTTAACATGCCTTGATGTGATTTATGCAGCATCTGGGTTCCAGGAATCATAACTGGTTACATATTACATGTTTACGCGGGTAGGGCCAAACGTAATACTTAAGACCAAGAGAATACAAGCTGCTATTTTTTCCCATTTACTGTAGCACGCAAACTAGTCACAATTAACAATCTCTATTCCTAAACACTAAGTGTTCCCGACTCTAAATCTACCTAAATATAACATAGTGTCCGGTGAGGCACTGATGGGCAACAGTAGTGACATCGAGGAAAATTAAACCCAGGAGCTGTTACGGGTGGGGCACCGCATGGTGTAAACACACAGCTGAATGCGTGGCACTAGCGCGAGACCGGCGCAATACGAACGTGAGTCTGTCCTGAGCGTCGAGCTGCTGTAGCGCCTCGCACGCCGCGCTCGTCGTCTCGTGCGCCGCGGCGCCACGGTTCAGCTTCGTCTGTGACGACGGCGCCCCCGCTCTCTCAGATGCTGCAACAGCAAACAACGGCTACCTGAGAAACGTAAAGCGATCGACATGTCCGCATGGAGTGACTGACAGGCACCACAAGCCAATCAGCATTGCGATGGAGGAAGGGGGAAGGGATATTCTAACAATGCTTCGCAGCGATGGATGAGGTGACACACAGTCTACAATTTGATGTGCATGCACAAAATACATGCAAAAACGGGTCTAGCTTGACTGACCTAAACAAAAAAGATAAGAATATCTCTTCAGACGGATGGATCAGGTAAACATATGATTTCAGCTAGCACCGATCACATTGCATAACCGGCTTTCACTATAATTGTGCTCCACGCAGCACTGAAAGCAACATGTCTGCAATTTTTGTCATGAAAAACAAAGTAATGCCCATCCTACATCCGAGACACCGACGAACACGCAACATTCAATGCCGCACTTCGACGATCGACCGCGGGGCAAGAAAGGAGTGTGCGCGTCCACGGACAGCCCGCGATGGTTACCGCGGCGACCGCTCACCCAGTCTGCATTAAAAGTTTTTGAGCCACATGCCCTTCGGGCAAGTATTCTGTGTAATGTACATGCCCGAATGACATTCTAGTTGCCCATATATTTTGCAGGAATATTTTTGGAATATTGAATAAAGAAGTGTACACCAGACAACTTCTACATGCCATTTGTTTCCGGTGTTAGCATTACGCAATTTTAAATTAAAAACCTTAATTAATGGCCAGTTGTAATTTACAGTTTATGCGTTTTTAAAGCAGAACCCCGCCGGGCAAGCGATCATGCAATGTTTACACGCCCGCCGAGATTTCTGCGTCTCGGGCGTCGGACTCCCGGCTAAATTCGAAGACGACTCTCACATATGACAATTTACTGAAGCCGAGGCCGCCCACCTGGAGCAGGCCCCCTCGAGTGTAACACATCACAAACTTCATGATGTCACCTGCTGCCACCTATGGTGACGTCACATCCTGATGAAGATTTCCCGGAGACCCGAAAATTTCGATAGTATGTTAATTTCTTGGATTTAACACAAGATAAATATGAATTCACACGGCTCACCGTTGTTCATGTGCTCGGGGCGTCGGAGAACCTGGAGCTGCTGCAGCAGCTCGTCGATCTTCTTGTCCTGCAGGTCGAGCAGCTTGCTCTCCAGCTCCTGCTTGCCGCGCTGCTGCTGCTCGCAGCCTCCTCCTCCTCCTCTACGATCGTCCGGCTCCGGGAACGAGTTCACCGACTGCAAGCGTGTACACGACGTGAGTTTCAAGGATAGAGGAAGAGAAGGAGGAGGAGAAAAATGAGGAGGAGAAGGAGGAGGAGAAAAATGAAGAGGTGAAGGAGGAGAGGAGTACAGATGCATGGCCATGTCAACTGCCTGGTGACAAATGCGCGGACATGTCACCTGCGTGGTGACAAACGCGTGGACGCGTCACCTGCGTGGTTACAAATGCGCGGACATGCCACCTGCGTGGCGTACAACCGCGTGGACATGTCTCCACGCCCATGTTACCTGCGTGGTGTACAACCGCGTGGACATGTCACCTGCATGGTGACAAATACATGGACATGTTACCTGCATGGTGACAAATACATGGACATGTTACCTGCATGGTGACAAATACATGGACATGTTACCTGCGTGGTGTACATCGCCTGCAGCTTGTCGAGCCGACGTCGCAGGCTGTCCAGGTCGTCGCTGAAGCCTCTCTCTCCAAGCTTGCTCGAACCTTCATCCGACAACTCCGACTGACTGATGTTACGCATTCTGTTCACTGTCGATCAATCGCATTCCACGTTTAACGACCGCGACCACTTAACTGATAATTCTTATTACCGGTTACCAATTTTTATTACTATTACCGTAAATTGTATATAATTAAAGATGCCCATCAAAACCGCATTGTTGACAACCGCTAGAATTCCTGACACCTTGTGTCATTTATAAGTATATAACCTTAACGGTAAATTCATATTAGGTTGTGTAATTTCAGTGCTAGTTACTATTCAAAAAGCTCAATTGAAAATCATGCAGTTATCAGCAGTTGTTTACAATTCGAATTGCAACCGCCACAGCACGTGTAACAGTAGTTTGTGTACTGGGCATACACATGGGTTGGACCATACAGGACACGCCTTTGCTACTCATACTAGTATTGTCACGGGATCACAGTGTTGTTTCAGTGTTTATAGACTTGTTGCCATCTAAAATTTGGGGCGGAATTTTTAGCTCAGTTGTTGATAAACAACATTCAAATGTCTGGTGTGTAAGGTATCCAGCAATGAAATTGGACAAACTAATAAACTAATTTGACGACAAGTTTATATACTTATAAATGAGACAAGATGTCAATTACTCTATTAATTGTCAACAGTGCGGATTAGATATACACATGGCTTATGGCACACAACCCTAACCCATACCAACAACATATTTGTGTGCTCAATCATATTCCAAAACTTTTTTTTCAATGGACTAAAGAAAAGATAATAGCAATGTAATGCACTTATTTTACATAAAATTTAAACAAAATATTACAGTAATATACTATAAAATAATAAAATGTTCAACTTCAATCATATGTATGCACTTCTGAGCAAATTCCATGCCATGCGTGCAAACACGTGCATGCATGTGACATTAATATGCAATCCATGTACCTCTGTTATGCTGTAATTGCTGATCACCGTTGACTTTTAATGCCAGCGTTTGCCTGCTCTCTAAATCCTTCAGCTGAAGCGTAAATAGAATAATTTTCATTAACAAATTTGTTCGACGACCTATTGACTTTACAAAGTACAGAACAGAGCTATCTCACTACTACATCCTGCTTGTCTGGGAGGGTGAGCACGGAATAGTGACTGACCTGTTCTTGGTGTCTATTAATCCTCCTAAGAAGACCTAGCTGCTCGGTTGCTCCATCTGCATTCCCATCCTTGCTTCCTTCCTTACCCATCTACAATGAAACCACTTATTATTAATACCACAATAACAGGTAACTGCACTTTCTAGTGTCAAGTTAAACCATCACAATTTATCATGCTGCTCAGTAAGGGAAAAAAATAACTATTAATACGACAACTGTGGGTACATTAAGGCAATTAAAATGACAGTAGTAGTGTTGACCCATGTTAACGTATACGGGTCAGGTGGTGGTGATTGCAAGCAACTGTTAACACAGCTTATAGAAGAAAACAGACTCGCTATCATAACTGTCACATTAGTCACTGCAATAATCTATCTTGGCTTTATTCAACAGTCTATAAAATAAGATTATGTTATTTCAAAACTAACACGCTATAAAAAAATACTAGAATGAGTTTCTACATAAACCATGCTGGTAATGGTATTTGACTGCAGATGACTATGTCAGATATTACAGATGTCAAAATCAGTTATAGACCATTTACAGTTTGCTTAGGGTTCAGTCCAATAACTTTTAGAACATGGGACTAACATTTAGTCATATAACTTGTTGGCAACCCAATAGGATAACTAATTTCCATGTACCATAGGATAGTCTGTTTCTCATTTAAATCACACTCACTTGCACCAGGAAAAGTAATAGCAATGCAACTTTAGAGAAGGGTCAGTCAATGCTTCTAGTTGCCAATATTGAGACAAATAATGTTAGTTTGCAGGACAGTTTCGTAATAGAATAGTCATGCATAAAAGAATGTTTTGTAACACTTGAGCACAAGTAGTCGCTGTATGTCAGCCTCAGGCAATCTCACAAGCTGAAAACTAAACACAGCAAAACACCAAACCAACACAGCGTGTGAGGTGAACATAGTGTTCACGATAACAGACACACACTTAAGTAGACCGGAAGCAAGCAGAAGTACTCTCTGATGGGCAGGCATGATGACATGTTTTTTTTGGCCATGTTGGTTAGTATTTTGCACACACACTCAATTTCTCTTCACGTTGGTTAGTAACTGGCACTAGGACACATCTTTTTGCCACATCGCTTAGTATTTAGTACAGGGATGTATTTTTTCACTACGTTGGTTAATATCTAGCACAGGGCCATGTCTTTTCATCACATTGGTTAGTATCTGGCACTGAACGGCACCCTCCTAGTACCTTTGCCGCATCGGGACTTAGTTGGTCAGCCGACAACGTGTCACTGTCCGACACAGACTGACCCTTCCTGCAGTTGACGACCCAACCACTACTGCCACACTCAGACTCTGCCTCGTCGTCTTCATCATCATTGTCGTCATCATCGTCGGAGCCCAAATCAACATACTGAATTTTATCCTCTATACGAGGGCGGCTGGCTGCATCGCCAACGTCCTTCAACAAAAACCATGCACGTGCAAATAACTATACAAAGATAAATCATAAAGCATAGAGTGCACCAACTCAAAAATCAACACGAAAAGTCGAGTTGGCCGTGTACCTGACATAGCATTAGCACACCCACAGTGCGAGTGCGGTAACAACACGAAATTGAACATTGCATCAAGGCACAAATAAATGCTGAACACAAGCTCAAGATCACACAAGATAAACAAAAGAAATACGGTAGCATAATTAAGGAGAAGCGGCCATCCATCCCATCATTCGTACACGTCAGACTCATGCCAGTTACTGAATTTTTAATCTGCTTTATGTTAAATATTTTCCTCATTTAGGCGTAACTTTCAATGCCTCGTATGACCGTGACAAAGGTGAAATAATGCTCGAGGAACTCTCAACTATCACTTATATTACTACACACCTCAACACTAACGATTCTTATTATTTGCAATTACTAAAGCGAGCACACATCGGAAATAAAGGTTTCTGAAGGCCCAGCTGATAGTAAACGGACAAGCCCACACTACCATGACACATTAGCAATAGCATGAAGATAGAGGAACACAAGCGACACAGAGCTGGAGATTGTGAGAGCACCAAATGGCTTCACAGGGATTTCTCAGGAAAATTCAGCTTCAACTGAACAGCGCCCTGGTTGGGGGGGGGGGTGACTGTCCGTAACGTCGGCAACTTTCACACCCATGTGCAAAACATTGCTAGACTTACGGTGGTAGCTTCTGACATGTCGGACTGGCCGTCCATGTTCAACGACGTGCTATCCCACATCGAATCGTCTGCGTCCGACGCAAACGAAGTATTGCCCCCCAGTAACGTCTCGTCGCGCAGCACCTAGACGTAAATACGAGCAGATGTGATAACATGCAGATGAGCTATGGAGAGGCGACTCAGTACAGGCATGTGCAGCAGGGCAGATGTCCGTGTACGTTGAACTAATTCACTCAACACTAGAAAATATTAAAACCGCATTCAGGGTGCGAAATTAACGGGAGTCCGGAGTCAAATACTCCCTGATTACTGTCGGACTCCATGATTTGACATATGCAGGAGTCCGTGTGACTCCCTGAAAATTCTGCCATACTGTGCAACCGCATGAATCTTCAAAATAAGCATGTTATTGTTAATATCTTTAATTTTGAACTTTAGACTGCGGACTCCATCATTTTGAGGGTGGGGAGTCCGTTGGACTCCCTTGTTCAAAAGTTAATTTCTACCCCTGCGCATTCCTCCGATGATAAGTTGTCATAAATGTTCACACACATAAACACACACGCTACCCTTTATTGATTGTCACATAAAATGTCTGCAAAAAAGCCACGTTTAGCACACACAAAAACATGTAAATTAGCGAATATAGTTCGTGAATATTATTTCAGGGCCTTCTGTGGTTTCCAGGACCCGTACGAGCCGCGCATAGTAAGACAAGATAGTGCTTACGAGTAAGTGCTGCAGAAGTCCCAGGTACCCCGTCTCCTGCTCCTGTAGGCGCTCAGCTAGTCGGTTCAGCTTGCCAAGCTGTTCCTGTCCACTCTGCTGCTGCAAGGCAAAATCACCGACCCGATGACCCCATAGCTTATATTTTAGAAATGTCTAAACTTTTCTCATATTTCTCCTAATCAGTTCTTGATGAAAATTCCCCAATGCGAAGAATTTAATCAAGGTAAACAGCTTGCAAATGCTAAAAGGACAATGCCGTAAAAATGTTATTCATATATATTTTATCACATTACATTAAAATTTTCGGTGGTCCCTGCGGGCCAATATACAAACATAAAGTTGCAAAGTTACAATAACAATAGCTTTTTCTTTTAGTGAAGCACTGTCATAGCTACTCAAGCCTGATCACGTCATAGCTACACAACCTGAAGACATCATAGCTACACAATCTGACGACATCATAGGTACACAACCTGATGACATGATGACAGCTACACAATCTGATGACATCATAGGTACACAACCTGATGACATGACAGCTACACAATCTGATGACATCATAGGTAAACAACCTGATGACATCATAGGCACACAACCTGATGACATGACAGCCACATGCAACCAGGAGACATCACAGCTAAACAATCCGAGTGTCATCACACAGCGCATAAACAGGGGAACATGTGCCATGACCCACATCCAGCACACAAGCTGCTGTCCAAGCAACAGTTAATAGATCCGTGTATATGTGTGCACAGACACTAAATTATTAAATGAGTGCCTCCAGGCAACTGTGTTTTTCTGGCTGCTGCTGCTGCTGCTAGCACTACAGCCACCACTATTAGGACTCTACATAATGACTCTTATTAGTGACCTCGAGAGTGTGACAGGTTTTGACATAGATGCAGAATTTTATAGTTTATTACACAAAGTTTGCCTTGTGATCATTTCACTTTGAACACTGACTTGACCTGCAGACGACTGACAAACTATTACATTTTCCTCAAGGCATGACTATGGTAAACGCAATAAACCATTTAGATTTGTGGTACAATTAATGTTGCATAAACAGACAGACAAATGCAATGACCACCCTAGAACCTCCATTTGACCGAGTCAAATAAACTTAACACCTGGTGGAGCACCAGAGCTTATGAGGCTTCCTTTATATATATTGTTTTGCTCACAACGTGATCACAATATAACTGCAAAACTCACATAAATATAATAATTTTCATGGAATGACAACTAAAACAAAGGTTTAGCCTAACCCAATATCTCATTGTGCACATTCATTGTAAACACAGAAAGAGACACCATGATAACAATGTACAATAGTGAAAATATGTGACTAGAAAAGAAGAAAACACATGTAATAGCACATTATAACTTGGGCATGAAATACCAGTAACAATATCCACTTACCAGGTCTCCACTCTTACTGAGGCTATCCATCATGTTTGAGGTTTTCTTTATGTAGTCTCGAATCTGCATCAGTCTATTCACAACCTGCTTTGTGTCCGGCTGAAATATAATGTTAAACTTGAACAATGGATAGCAGGTGGTTGATTGAAGATGTAATCTCAGTGAAAGATCTGAGACATACATTATATGACTAATTTGAGATGCTGTTACATTTTTTGCCTTCAATTTACACATTTACCGTATAGCAAAAGTTGAAATTCTAATCGGCTTTATACTATTGCAATCCATCGCACTAGTTGTGAATCCATTCGATGCTTACCCATTTGCTCACAATTAGATACAGAGTATTAGGAAGGGTTGATAAAGTGGAAGTACCAAAACACTGGAAAAGTAATTTGGTTTTAGCAATGGCAGCACAGAAGGCAGGAAGTGCTTCTTAGGGGGAATGGCCCAACAGAACTTCCTTTTAAAAAATAGTGCAATTACGGTGTTATATTTCAACCTATTTGTTGTACATTAAGACACCTTATTACCTTCTCAATAATATTTGACATTCTGTTTGATATTCTGTCATATCAGCGCCCAGAAGCAGATTTTATTAACAATCTTTTCCTATATTTTTACAGATTATAGAACAGAACATGGTATGGTCCTTTTTATGAAATAAGTCAAGTAAAAAATTTCACAATAAAAATCATGCATAGCATCCTATAGTTATTCACTGAAATAAGTAAATGGTCGTCATCAACTGTCGGCAGTAGAGCTGACCGTCGAAAAGGTGCTGAGACAGCTCGCTATAGCTGATGCCCTGCCTAGCTAACAGAGCTCTTCCACATGTTCCACTCACCAAGTTGGCCAGGCTGTTGTTCATTACTTCAACTCGCTCCGCCGAGTTTCCTGTGGGTCCCTTTGTTGAGTTTTGCCTGCCAGTGACATTGCGCTTCGCTCTCACGTCCGACAGACGTGCATCTATTTCCGGCACAGCCTGCTGCCTGCTTGACAGTGGCGCACTCTGGTGCCTTTCATTATTACGCTCGCCATCAGTGCTGGCCTATGTGCAAACAAGGATTTCAGCATCGGGCATAAATTTTTGCCTTCAGTCACACATGTACAAAACGCATAAAGCTTTAGCAACAGCAGTAACTTTATATGGTTTCCACGACACAATCTGTTTTGTCCATCCAAAAAAACAATTTTTAAAACCAAGCTTCTTATCCATTCCTGTTTATATCAAGCAGTGAAAATTGGCATGTAGTGCAAGGAAACCACAATCTAATTACAAACAACGGTGACATACATAGCAAATTCATCCTCTGAACTCTGACCCAATAACGATTATGACATTAAGAGTCTAGTCTCACACTTCTAAACCGACTTCCGCATATCACAAAGTCACAAACTGCGCAGACATATATGAAATGGGGAGACGCGGGCTGTCTCTAGGGGACATTGATCCACTGCCCGACACAACATGGGGTCGATAAGCCTATCTATCAATGGCATCAACCTGTAAAGTTAGTGACGAACTTCTCAAAATATGCGAACAACGTGTACATACCTCGTCCATGTCGGTGAAGTGGATCTGCTGCCTGACTTGCTCAAGGGCTTTGCGCTCTGTGACGGGCGTTGCTGACGTGAACTTGGTTCTCGGCAGCGTGGCCGGCGTGCGATGCCGGGCCGGCTCACGCCCGCTGCTGGTTGCCGCGGGAGACGATACATCCTTCGCTATGTTGCCCCTTTTCTTCGGTATGCCTCCAGGGCCGCGCCAGTCAGACAGGCTCTGCGATACAAATCCCATCTTAAGAAGTTGATAGTAGAGTGAAGAACAGCTTAGTTTTGCTTTCCATCTACCAATTTTAAAGGCCGGTCTGGTAGTCACAGGAATTTCCACCTCAACTTCAACCTTACCCATCTTTATAGATTGAGAAACTTAAATTTAGAGAATTTCTCATGTTTTTTCCAACCATCTTTATATTTTCTCGATTGTTCTGATACTTACTGGTACTCCTTTCGTAACAACAATCGTATTCAGCAAGGTTAAAATGCCATAGAACACTTGCACATCATTCGTATCACCAGTATGTGCATCGATTAATAATTTTTATGCTGAAGTAATCAGTAAAATGTATGTACCCTGACATGTGAGACTAAATTTGTCTACATTTTACACCATTTTAAAAGGTTTATAAGTTTGTGAAATTTCCATTATACTACAATTGTAACTATAAATATGTTGCATACTTCGATATGATTGTCAAACCTTTGCCAATGCAACATCTAGATGTAAAAAGATTGCAGGTTTACATCACGTACATACCTTTTGATCAATTACAATACCACATGTATCGTCGCCATTTGCCACTTGGTCCTTGTTACCTCTCTTAGCTCCCTTGTTAATCGCTGGACCTCGCCAATCTTGCAACGACTGTAAAACATTGGACCCGCCTCACACATGTACAGTGCACGACTTACGTATGAAAAGATCTGTAACCATGCGTATCATCAAGTATGTATTACAAGTTGTATTTTAAAACCTACATTTTCTATAAACAGCTAGATCTGGGGTATAAAACTGGCATATCCAGATAAACAATCACTGACGCGTTAATCCAGTCAATAAACATGTGTTGCCTATGATAGTGCAGCCTGTCACAAGACAATTACCCAGTTGTTTGGCCGCCCATCAAATGGTAGAGGTCTGAAAATAGAGCTGCTGGTATCCCTTATACTTATAGGGTTTAACATCCTCTGTGATGCTGCACGTCGTCTGGTATCTTCGACCCCTTCCCTCATATGCGCATCGCCCCCAGATGCCATCTTCCCCTGAAATAACAATTTTGTGTGTGAGCTATTCTGTCTATTTGAAGTCGAGTAATAATAATATATTGGCATTACGACTTTACGTTTGAGCTGATCTGATCGTAGATACAATAATGTAACCCAACAAGAGTAGGGTCCGGGTAGTAGGGTTTACTACTCTTGCGTCTTGTCATGTTGCAATGTTGGGTTACATTATTGAATATTGACGAATATTGACTTATTGAATATTGTATCTAATCTGATCCGTGATCGTATCAGTGATTTTCGGATCCGATTTTAATCTAATAACCTATATAATTTCCTGTAGGAACTCTAGCGAATTCTAACAATATGGTTTCATAATATAATACTTGAAGTAAATACGAAAAATTGAACTTACATACAGTAAATTCGTCTGTTTTACGTTCACGGCAATAAAAGATGGCACACGACAACAACCATGTTTGTTTGCGAACGCGTAGTGATATATGACGCTAATGACGTAATTTACGCGCGAAACTTCTATTCAAATAAAAATACACCCACACGCATGGCTCGTAAATAAAAAAATCTACTGATCACTGTCACTGAAACCTAGTTTACTGTGTCATAGCTTAACTTTATTTTGAACAACACTTACATGCTCTCCGTTATTTATACTTTTACATTAATCCTACTTTTCCTCTACCCGCTAAACACATAACACATAAACAGGAAGTAGCGACTATTTCCTGTGACTCAACTAAACGCTACTTCATTATAAATCAAATAATTTAAGTACCAAGATGCCTATAGATATTTAGTTAATATTGAAAAAAATTTATATTTTGCTTTGTCTAATCTATAAACCCTATGTGCACTTAATAGGTGTTTGCGCATTTAAACCATTATTATTATGTGAAAGTAAGATATTTACACGCTATTAAAGTTTTTATTACACTGCTGTTCGCGCCAAAGAGAAAAACTAGTGATCGTATTTAGTAATTTAGCAAGGAGCTACATAGTTACAAGTTGTAATGCAACTTGAACTTGTACTTTGTAGAAGTTACTGTTAGAGAAATGCGAATAATTTGATAGTTTAAAACCCGTATTTAATTTAAGTGTGCTGTTTAAGTAATGATGCTTCAGAATACAGGAAAGTATAGATCTGATCGTACATTCGGCGGATCGGATGGAGGAAAGAGAGCGGAGGAACGTGGGTATGTACTGCCACTGTTACGTACTGTACTGTGTACAATGTACCGTACTAGACTACTGTGTCCAGTGTACTTCGTACTCAAACTACTACTATCAGTGTATCACAGATAGAGCCTAGACGTGATGCAGCCATGCATGATGCCGAGGCGAGCCGAGGACTGACACTTTGTGTCCTCCAATCACAGCCTATACGCCGCACCTCCCTTATAAATTTTTATAGGTGGGGATCGACCGTGGGGGACCCATCACAGTACGAAATCGCCGATCTCAGGAACTAGGGCATTCTGCTAGGCTAGAACGGTTTCCTACGATAGAGTTTGGCACAAAAACTAAAATATAACACGCCGTTTAGCGCGCACTGCGCTACGTACGTACTTTTGTTGCATTTTTGCATCTTTGCATCTCTGTATCAGAATTAGCCCCCGCCTTCCTCGTTGATGGCAGTGAATGGGTTGGCGTCTCGACCGACTTGACCAGTTCCTATACCGACGTTGTTTACTTTTCGTAAATAATGAAGAATGCCGGCGATACTAGACTGGTTACCGTTCGCCTTCACTTCCCAGGCAAATATCCTTCGCTACACTGACGCTGTTAAGTGTAGCGTTGTGGAACTGTCGACCGGATTACCAGTCTAGGGTGATGCCAAACTGCGTTGCATGCACCTTCGTTACACTCAGGATACTCGTAATTTGGGCCATGACCGAGAGCGATCTGTCGTGGATTTGGGCGAGGCGAATGCATTTTCTGCGTTTTTGCTCGCATGTATTATTTTGCCAAGCACTCATTTTGGCAATCCTCCAACGATTTTAAATCATGCGTGCAGCTTGTAGAATCGCATGATCGGTCGTCCGGTCCGTCAAGGTTGCGGCACAAATCTGAACCGTCGACGTAACGGTTCACGATTATTCGGCCACACGGGGGCAGGAGGGGGGATGTGACGAGTTTGGCGATGGCGAGCTGGGCGTCAAAGGTCCAAAGGTCAAGGATGTGTAAGAAGGGGAACATTCTTTTCATCCAACAACACCAACACTCGCACACAGATTATAAAGGCGTTGATCGGATTGTAAAATCACTTGTTTTAATTTACTTCTGATTTCCATCCTTAGAGATTCTAATCATTGTTACCTGCAATTTCAGCACAAATATCATCACAATCATGCAACAACTAGCCAAATTCCTTGTACTAGTAGCACGTGTATGTAGCCCCTCCAGCCCTACGACTGTTCTCCGGTCGGCGAAGAAAACACTTCTCGCCACGTTATAGTAGGAAAACGAGCAGGTAACTTGGGATCCGTAATAGGTATTGTATTTGGGTGCTGTTGTTTAGTTTGTATTTATATATATATATAAACAGGGGGAGTGAACCAGACCTGTACCTCTGCCATCGTTCTGTGTCAACTACACACTACAAATTGCTGGTTGTGTGGTAACCTTTTTGTACCCCCTACTATGAGAACTCTATGGAGCGCATTTCACATAATAGACATACTTTGGTGCGCGATTCAACCCAATTTTATGAGGCGCGATGATTCGCACGCCACCATGGCAGCACAATTCTGGCGTGCGCGGTGCGAGCGCGGAGATGGCGCGATCGCGCCCCTAAAAGAAAGCCTGATTACGCTACCGTGGGCAGCTTCATCTTAATCTGAGACACTTAAACGTAGCACATCGTCGTGGGCCAACTTTTCATGAGTACGATCCAACGAACATTCTTGGGCTTGTGAGAAGAGTCCTGTACGCATCCTGTGCATTCCACTGTTTTGGCCGTGGTTAGTGTAAACAATTTGGACTAACGGTTACTAGAATCCACCACTCCACCACAGAGTCACCGCCAGTGAGACGTTGAGATGAGCGCTGTCGCTCCGCGGCCTTGTTACTTCTCATTCAAGCGCCAGTTTCACTGTTATTTAGAAGGAAGACCTGTAGACAACTGTATGCATGTGTATATTTCACTCTTGCTTCTATAGCTATGATTCCCCAAATTTTGCTCTGTCTGCCCCATGTATTTATTCTCCCTCATTCATGAATCTACCATTTCAGTTTCGACTCTTATCTATCGTATAAATCCTATATAATTGAACGTTAAATTCCCTAGGGGTTGAATGATTCTGTGACATTTGTTTGCATTACTTGGTTGCCTATTAAATCCTCTTTCCTATCCTTTCTTTGTTGGGTGAATTTTATAACCATTGTATTTGTTTTGTCATATTACAATTCTAAATCTTTTTGATTCAGCTAATCTGGAGCTGACTCCCGCGATTTTGTTTACTTTGTTTTAGCTCATCGACCATGTAGTCCTGGCGCTTGTTAGAATCGCTTGTCATACGCACCGTCCGATCGTTCCGTGCGTCCGAATCGTCCGTGCGTCCGGGCGTCAACGTGGCACAAAAGCTTAATCCCTCGACGTACGGTCCACGATATCTCGGCTGATGTGGGGGGTAATCCGAAAACGAGTTGGAAAGAATGTCGACAGCTGGCGGGTCAAAGGTTCAAAGAGTCAAGACGGTGTAAAGAAGGGGGAACATTCCTCCTTAATTAGTATAGGAGAGGAAATGCAGAAAATTGCGCGCACAAATCTAACGGCTCGACCTAGGCTGTGATAGTCGGTGTATAGCATCATGTGTATGGAAAAGCCCATCCTGTGCCGAAATGGAGGTCACAGGTCACAAGGTCAGGGCGGCACAGGCACGATTTAGACAAATTTTCTGAGGACATGGCTTGACGGAAGCGATGTGAAAACTTTTTGTCTTCAGCGTGTGACCTAGCATATTTTATAGGGCTTAGTGAACGACATTTAATGTCCCTTTGCTGACATGCGAAAGAGAAGTGTCGGATAACCTATATTGACCCCAAAATGAGGAGGTTGATTAAACTTGGATCTTGTTTGACTGTCTGTTAGAAAGAATTTGACTGCCGGGTTTGCCTATAGATCTATACATGCCTGGATGTATGAGCGGCTACAATGTCACAGTGAATTTCAAAAGTAAATATGAGTTAAGAGGTGTTATGTTCCCTTAAATCTATAATTTCTATTGTCATTCTGTACTGTCAGGGTATGTTAGATGTAACGTACGGAGTATGCCACGTGGTGGCTGCCAGTTTTTGCCTGCGTTAATTGCTTGCAGGTGGCATGCTCTCTAGTGCCATTTGCGCCTGTTAGGCTTGCTAGCGTAAAGGATGAGTGCTTACCTATTCTGTCTTGCCAAATAGTTTCTACCTACGAATGATGGAGCTTCTCTTAATCTTGAAGACACTTGTTAAACGTACGCCAGTCATCGTCTGGCAACTTATCAATAACGATCCCAACGAACATTCTTTGTAAGAGGTTCCTGATAACGACATCCCGTGTGCATCCACTGGGTCGCGCTGTGTATGTGAACACATTGGGGACGTAACAGGTTTACTAGAATCCTCCACCTCACCACAGAGTACACGCAAGTAGACCCCTTAGATGAGCCAGCTGACTCGCTTATTGCGGCACTTGTTAGCCCTCATCTGACATAGTCAGGATGCAAGGCGGTAGAATCGCTGATTCGTTCCGTCCGATCGTTCCGATCGTCCGTGGCCCGTCGGGGCGTTCAACAGTTGGGCACAATCTTAACGCCTCGACGTACGGTCACATGATTCGGGACGATCGGCGGGGGATCGTCAAACGAGTTTTGGGATGTCGCAAGCTGGGGGTCAAAGGTCAAAGGTCAAGAGGTTGAAAGAAGGGGAACATTCCGCCTTAACTAGAGGATATAGAGGAAAATGCAGACTAAGCGCGCACAAATCTAAACGGCTCGACTAGGCTCGTGATAGTCGGTGTATAGCCATCATGGTAGGGAAAGGCCATCACTGCTTGCCGAATTGGAGCGTCACAGTGTCAAAGGTCAGGTGGCACAGGGCAGATTTTAGACATTTTCTGAGGACATGGGTGACGGAGCGATGCGAAAAACTTTTTGTTCAGCGTGACCTAGCATTTTTATTGGCTTTAGCTTGAAAGGACCATCAATGTCCCTTCTGCTGACGTGCGAAACGTAGTGAAGTGTCGGAGAACCTTTGACCCTCAAGAGGAGGGTTAACTTGTGATTGTTGACTGTCTGGTTTAAGAAGAAGTTGATGCGGACGTTTGCTAGTTGAATCGTATACATGCCTGGATGTATGTAGGCTACAATGCACAAGTGAATTTCAAAAGGCTAAATTTGGTTAAAGAGGTGTATTATCTCTTCTAAATCGTTATTTCTATTGCATCTGTATGTCAGGTATGTTAGCATGTAACGTATGCCAATGCCAGTGGCTGTTGCATGTGTTCGGGCGCAGTCTTTTGCTGCATTAATGGTTGCAGCTTGCGCAGCTCTCTATTGTCAATTTGCCAGCTGTGGCTTTGCGTAGTAATGGATGGTGTTACTCGATCTGTCTTCCGCCAAATCAGTTGTTGCTACTACGAATGAGTGATCGGGAGCTTCCATCTTTAATCTGAAGACAATGTAAACGTACGCGCCATCTCGTAGGAACTTTCATCAACGATCCAGACGAAACATTCTTTGAGAAGGTTTCCTGATACCATCCTGTGCATTCCACTGTTCGGCGTGTATGTGACACCATTTGGCAGAACAACAGCGGTTACTGGTGAATCCTCCAGATCCACCAACAGAGTCACCGCAGTAGACGATTTGGAGAGCGCTGTCGCTATGCGGCCACTTGTTAATCTCCAGTTCTAGAATATCGTCCATATAATCATTGTCATCTTCTAAACACTACGACCATCTGCTGACCGCTGGTGACGAGACGAGCGCCGGGCCTCGAATTTGGCGCACGTCTCCACTGCGGACAGCGCTTTATACTTGAACATCCCGCGGTCGCGTGCGCATATCCTGCGGAACTGCGCGTCTCATCCGCACGCAGCGCTTAGGTCAACAGCAAAGCTGCGCGCACGCAATCTTGTATCATGTCTCTCGGATTGCTTAAACATCCACGTTATAGGCCATGCATAAAGACCTGTCGGTGCGCTTGTATCTTGTATCTTGGGCGTCCACTCTCTTGTATTTCACAAGACACTGATTCTCTCTTTGGAATGTGCGGGCTTATTCTTTTCTTCTTCTTTTTCTTCTTCTTTTCTTTTCTTTTCTTCTTCTTCCTTATTCTTTCTTATTCTTCTTATTTCTTAATTTTATTCTTTCTTCTATTCTTCTTTATTCTTCCTTCTTATTCTTATTCTTCCTTTTTTTCTCATTCTTCCTTCTTCTTTATCTTTCTTCTTCGTCTTCTTTTCTTCTTCCTTCTTCTTCTTCTTCTTATTCTTCTTCTTCTTCTTCTTATTCTTTCTTTCTTCTTATTCTTTCTTCTTCTTTCTTTTATTCTTATTCTTATTCTTATTCTTATTCTTTATGAGGTGTGACCTAGCTTGGGTAAAGCCAGGTAGTCTGCCTTTAGCCAAATGCGCTGTGGACCGACTATAGAATCTAAGAATGACACGCATCCTATTCTGAGGCAGTGAGGCAGGGTTCTCCAAGAGCACTTAAATAGCCTGGCGGCCCGCCAGGCTATCATCGAGCCCTGTCATCCTAAAATGCACCCCCCACTCTAAATATCATAGCCCCCGGACCCCTCTAGCATGCAAAACCGCTTCGGCGATTGCAACTAGGACCGTAAAGGCAGCACCCGCCATGCTATAATGAAAAAGCTTGGAGAACCCTGTGAGGGTACTACTAATTGTTCAAAACAAGTTGGTTAGTTGGGTGTTTAACTATCAAACCACAGGCCCTTGGAGGCTCAAGTTTCAAGAAGAGTATAACTATAAGAGCGAAGCGCTTCACTCTTATACTCTTCTTGAAACTTGAGCCTCCAAAGGCCTGTGATCAAACAAATCAACAATCCTTACATCCGTCTCAGACGTATAATTTAACTATCACCCGATGACCCATGTTACTGCCATGTATTCTGTACCCTACAATGTAGACTAGACTGGGTTTACACTAATACTATCAACATTTAGTTGAAAAGATGATGAGTTGATCAACGTTGTACAAGGATACAAGTTGTCATTATCGGCTGCGAGTCGGCAAACTTTGAAACATTTCAACCGCAGCGGGCACACAGGTCGATGTGTTTACGCATTTATTGCTATTGCATCTTATTGCTATTAATGATCTGAGTGGCTACATGGCAAAAAGTTGATCAACTCGCTGGCCAAAAGTTTAGGAATTAGAACATTTCTTATCTCTCAACTAGTTGAGCGCTCAACTTTTATGTTTACTGTGTCGACTTTTAGTTGAATTGTTGAAAAGTTGACCAACTCTTCAACTTTTCAACCAAGAGTTGATAGTGTAAACCCAGCTTAGGCCACACTAGCGATTAGTGATACTTGCTAGTCACATATGCAGTGGCATGTCGAAGTGCAAAATTATTTTATAGTGTGGCATGAGTACCACAAATAAATAGCATACCATCTATATAATTATCGTATAACAAATCGTCATGGTTATAACATATCATGCACGTCATAATCTGCTCTACCCATTTTTCATAGCAATTATTAGTTTTGTTACCTCTATTTGATATTGTATAATAAAGTAAAACTTATTTCGTACTATAAATGATCACAGAAAAACACGAATAATACGAAAAGCTGGAGTATTGTTATCTTCAAGCAACTATTTTATGCTGATTAGTGTGAAAGAAGACTCGTCGGAGCAGCGCCTACAGAAGGCTGTACTAGATGATGAGATTGATGCAAGGTTTGGATTTGAGCGATACAAGGATCCGGTGGAAATTGTCGGATGGCTTGTCAACATGCATCCAGTAAGTTGTAATTTATATTGTAATTATTATACATTTAGCACGATAACTAATTGTGCATGTCATAGGTATTTCAGGTACAGGTCTGCCTGCTGTCACTGTTGCTATATATGGCATTGCTAAGATGTCTTGCCTGTTCTCTACATGTTTTGTCTGATTTCAGGCTGACATTTTGAATGAGGACAAGCGACTCATTAGTGCCGTTGATTATTACTTCTTTCAAGATGATGGAAGCAGATTTAAGGTAAAATATGTAATTGATTATGAGAATATTTTAAAATCAAGCTAATTCGTGATTTTAAAATGACATGACATGAACTGCTAATATTAACAAGAGCTAATAATACCTAGAGTGTACAACGGAAAAACGGGAAAATAGTGCTATTTCACGACATTATTATTCTACTTTGCCTGCGAGTCTAGAATAATTTTATGGTACTGCATTAAGCAGAATTCTTTGCTCTCTAAAACAAGACCAACCGCTTGTCAATACAATACTCCTAGGCTGAGATATTGGCTCCTAAACCTCCCCTCCCACAGGCATCACAGCGCCTCGAATCCACATCAGTCAGCAACCTACACGCCTCTAAGCATTTCGGCTATCGGTTTCCGTCACCGCTTGGAGCGCTGATAATTGATGTCACATGCCCAAATTTGGTACCTTTACTACACCATATCAGGACCATATAGTAACTGAGCTGCGTTGTAAAAACTTAATTAAGAAATCATTGCCGGCTCCATCATGACGGGCATTAGCCGTGCTAGGAAAGATAATGGGAGATAAGGGCATAGGCGATGCCCCCATTCATAAAGTTATGGCGGAAAAACCGAACTTTCACGAAGCAACCTTAGAGGCGTGTAGGTTGCTGACTGATGTGGATTCGAGGCGCTGTGATGCCTGTGGGAGGGGAGGTTTAGGAGCCAATATCTCAGCCTAGGAGTATCGTATTGACAAGCGGTTGGTCTTATAAACTCATTCTAGACTCGCAGGCAAAGTAGAATAATCATGTCGTGAAATAGCACTATTTTCCCGTTTTTCCGTTGTACACTCTAGGTATTATTAGCTCTTGATATTAAGTATCATTATGTCCAATATAGATGAATTTGCCTTCATCTTTCCTTTCTTTGGGATCACTGCAAAGGAGATGGTTTTAAAGTTCCTGCTTTCCTTCCTTCCTCATAAAATTTTTAATTGGGCTCATAATTATAAACTTTCTTGTGTTATCTTCCAGTGATCAAATTATTGTGTAAATCAATTATCACATTATCTTTTTATCAAGATTTCAATTAACATAATTAAAGTAATTATTTCCTTAGGTCTCCATGCCCTATAGGCCATATATGTATGTCCTTCCCAAGAAGGACTGTGAACGAGAAGTTGCATCATATCTGACAAGAAAATATGGCAATGCTATTGCTAGTGTTGAGCCAGTACAGAAAGAGGATTTGGATCTGGTAAAACCAAGTTTTGTTAAAATATTTATTATAGGGCTTGTTGGGTGTACAGGTTAGAAGAATATGTCATGGTAAACATTTACATAGTACATTTCCATAGAGATGGTAAAAATAAGTTGTTTCTTCAATTTTGTCAAGTAGACAGTTTTTTAGAGATGCAATTTGCATAGTGTATTTCAATTTCCTTACAGTTACTCTGTTATATTACTTCGTGTTGAGTTAGCATTGAGTAAAGGATTCATATGTAAGAAACTAAACTCATGCAAGTCAATATATTATGAAATATTCTTGTAATGTTGTTAAGGTTTTTTTAAGGAAAATTTAAAATAAGTGAATTTGTTGTGACTGCCTAATTTTGTTTCTAGCCAAATCATCTAGTGGGTCTGAAGCAAGCATACCTGAAACTGTCCTTTCTAAGCATCACAGACCTTACCAATGTCAAGCAGAAGATCATGCCTGCTGTACGCAAAAACAAGGAGCGAGAAAAGTCTAGCAATCCATACGCTGCATTGCTGGCAAGGTACGTCTTCCCTAACGTTTGATAAAATGTAATTCTATAAGGATTAGCATGCAACGTTTGTGTAACCTTGGAGTAATTATTTTGACTGATTACTCCAAGGTGATCCAAGTCAGAATGATTACTCTAAGGTGTAACTTCTGATTTAGCTTTAGCTGATTCATATTTAGCTGATAATATAAAAAGAGGAAAGTAATAATAAAAAACCCCGACAAGTTAAAGTATTGTTGAATTAAGTAGGCTGCTACTACTGATGATACAATCTCTGCTTTTCTGCACTGATGTCAGTGACATGGATATAGCTTATATCTGTGACGCCATCAATCATGTCAATTGTGTTATACCATTCCTAATACTACTTGCCATATAATGTCGGTGCAATATATGTTGCTGCAGATGTATGCGCTATGATATGCTTGGGAAAAGAACCCTTTATAGATTTCACACAATATTCAATCTTGGTAAACCTTTAATATCAACTACGATTGCTCGTAATATTTGTGATTTTTGGTGTATCCTGATATTGTAACAGGTCTGGTGACATTGTGACTGTTTTTCTATTTCCACTGTTTCGGCGTGTATGTGAACTCATTTGGGACTAACAGGGTTTACTAGAATCCCACCACTCCACCACAGAGTCACCGCAGTAGACGTTAGATGAGCGCTGTCGCTCCGCGGCACTTGTTACTTCTTCCATTAAGCCCATGTTTCACTGTTATTTAGGAAGGAAGACCTGTAAAACTGTGCATGTGTATAATTTCACTCTTGCTTCTATAGTATGATTTCCATAATTTTGCTCTTCTGCCCATGATAATATTTCCCTCATCATGAATCTACATTTTTCAGTTCGGACTCTTATCATATCGTTATAACCTCCTATATAATTAATTAAATTCCCTAGGTATGAATATTTGGTGCATTTTTTGATTACTTGGTTGCCTATTAAAATCCTCTTTCTCTATCCTTTCTTTGTTGGTGAATTTTATAACCATTGTATTTGTTTTGTTCATATTAAATTCTAATCTTTTTTATTCAGCTAATCTGGAGCATGACTGAGCGATTTTTGTTACTGTTTTATAATCTCCAGTTCCTAGAATATCGTCCATATAATCATTGTCATCTTCTAAAACTACAGACCATCTGCTGACCGCTGTGGAGACGAGCGCCGGGCCTCGAATTTGGCGCACGTCTCCACTGCGGACAGCGCTTTATACTTGAACATCCCCGCGGTCGCGTGCGCATATCCTGCGGAACTGCGCGTCTCATCCGCACGCAGCGCTTAGGATTAACAGCAAAGCTGCGCCACGCAATCTTGTATCATGTCTCTCTGGATTGCTTAAACATCCAGTTATAGGCCATGCATACAGTCCGTCGGTGCGCTTGTATCTTGTATCTTGGGGTCCATCTCTTGTATTTCACAAGACACTGATTCTCTCTTTGGAATGTGCGGGGCTTATTCTTTTTCTTCTTCTTCTTCTTCTTCTTCTTCTTCTTCTTCTTCTTATTCTTTCTTATTCTTCTTATTCTTAATTCTTATTCTTTCTTCTTATTCTTCTTATTCTTCCTTCTTATTCTTATTCTTCCTTTTTATTCTCATTCTTCCTTCTTCTTATTCTTCCTTCTTCGTCTTCTTTTTCTTCTTCCTTCTTCTTCTTCTTCTTATTCTTCTTCTTTCTTCTTCTTATTCTTTCTTCTTCTTATTCTTCTTATTCTTATTCTTCTTGTTGATATACTGTGTAAACGTATGCTTGTAGTTCCGTTTCATTGTACAGAGTGATTCCGGTATTTACATGTACCCGTCGGTCCCATAATGCATAGGGGTTGTACCACGAGATTCGGAGTAAACATGGCGTAAAGACTTGACCCGGTATCTGTGTTTGTCCTGTTATTTGTTGAACCTTGTATTTCAATTTCCTTACAGTTACTCTGTTATATTACTTCGTGTTGAGTTAGCATTGAGTAAAGGATTCATATGTAAGAAACTAAACTCATGCAAGTCAATATATTATGAAATATTCTTGTAATGTTGTTAAGGTTGTTTTAAGGGAATTTAAAATAAGTGAATTTGTTGTGACTGCCTAATTTTGTTTCTAGCCAAATCATCTAGTGGGTCTGAAGCAAGCATACCTGAAACTGTCCTTTCTAAGCATCACAGACCTTACCAATGTCAAGCAGAAGATCATGCCTGCTGTACGCAAAAACAAGGAGCGAGAAAAGTCTAGCAATCCATACGCTGCATTGCTGGCAAGGTACGTCTTCCCTAACGTTTGATAAAATGTAATTCTATAAGGATTAGCATGCAACGTTTGTGTAACCTTGGAGTAATTATTTTGACTGATTACTCCAAGGTGATCCAAGTCAGAATGATTACTCTAAGGTGTAACTTCTGATTTAGCTTTAGCTGATTCATATTTAGCTGATAATATAAAAAGAGGAAAGTAATAATAAAAAACCCCGACAAGTTAAAGTATTGTTGAATTAAGTAGGCTGCTACTACTGATGATACAATCTCTGCTTTTCTGCACTGATGTCAGTGACATGGATATAGCTTATACCTGTGACGCCATCAATCATGTCAATTGTGTTATACCATTCCTAATACTACTTGCCATATAATGTCGGTGCAATATATGTTGCTGCAGATGTATGCGCTATGATATGCTTGGGAAAAGAACCCTTTATAGATTTCACACAATATTCAATCTTGGTAAACCTTTAATATCAACTACGATTGCTCGTAATATTTGTGATTTTTGGTGTATCCTGATATTGTAACAGGCCTGGTGACATTGTGACTGTTTTTCTATTGTAGTAATTATGGCGGTGCTGATGATGGAGTCTCGAAAAACATCGCAGATCAACTTGACAATATAATCGATATCAGGTATAAACTCCTGTAATTGTCTGAATATTTGTGAATCTGTAAATGCATGTGCAGATTTTGGTATACGGGATAGCATATGTTCATAAATATTAAATGTCATTGTCTGTAGGTGCCTGTATGTATGAGGTGTCATTTACTCGCTTTTGAAAGTGCATTTGTGCAAAATTTTTATAACTCGTAGCTATGGTTTTGCTGCGTAATTTCAGAGAGTACGATGTGCCATATCACGTGCGTGTTTCCATTGATCTGAAGATATTTGTTGGACATTGGTACTCTGTAAAACCGAGAGGGTCTAAGCCACCAGAGATAGTGCCCAGAGAAGACTTGGTTGATCGTCCTGTAAGTTGTTGTGTCCACGCATCTGTGCATGTCATATGTTTGTAGACAGTTTGCTTATTAGCCAATGCTTTACTTGACTCATTCGCTTAACAAAGTTATTAAGGAAAGGGACTATTTTACATCGACATTTTCTCATAGTAATCATTTTGTTTACATAACACCTTAAACTTGTATGTCAACTAGTCATAGCAAGAGAAGGTAGAAGGTCACTATAACATGTATAACATGTATAATGTTTGTAGGATCTTGTGGTGTTGGCATACGACATCGAATGCTCCAAGCTGCCACTAAAATTCCCAGATGCAGCATCCGACCAGATCATCATGATCTCCTACATGATCGATGGTCAGGTAATTAAGATTGACATAATAAATATAAGGATAAACCTAAAGCTAATAGCATGGCTTATATAGCCAGGTCATATTAGTAGCCAGGTAGAGATGTTGAGATAAAAACTGATTGCTCAGGAACAAACTTTCATGTAGGAATAATAGCCAGGAAAGACTGAGGACTAGGTAAGCGCTGCTGAAGGGTTTGTTTTGTTTAAATGACATGCTTATATACAGATGCTTTTGGACCATGTTATCAGGCTGTGTAACGAGTCTAATCTTCAATCTGATATCTGCACCGCCGTTGTTGTTGTTGTTGTTGTTGTTGTCGTCGTCGTCGTCGTCATCGTTGAGTTGTGAATTAAAAATGTCATCTGCAAATGTGTAGGATATTTACCTGATGTGAATTTGCAGTATGTGTAATATGACAGACACAGTATATCTTGCCACCAGTGTAATCAAACTAAAGTCACCAAAATCAAACATTTTCAGTGGTGTTTTTAACCTTTTCTTTTTCATGTTTATTTTGAACTTTTGAATCGATGGTAGTGGATATAATAGTATGATATTTCCTGATATATAGGATGGGTATTTTAATAGGGGTACCTCATCACCAACCGAGAGATCATCTCAGCAGATGTCGAAGATTTTGAATTCACACCCAAGCCTGAGTATGAAGGACATTTCACTATTTTCAATGAACCGGACGAACTGTCGATGATACAGAAGTTTATCGACCATATTATCGAAACAAAGCCTGTCATCATAGTCACGTATAATGGAGACTCATTTGACTGGTCAGTATTCAAAGTTGATATTAACATTTTAATATTTTAAGGTTTTCTTATGTGATTACAAAACTATTTAGTACGAAGTTTGCTTTTGCATAATAGAAAGCGATACAGGTAATCTTTTTGCAGCTTAACTCAAGTTCCGTCGTGAATTTAATTGCTATAATTATATTCTGTTTTGCATAGGCCCTTTGTAGAAACGAGAGCTGCAATCCATGGGATTGACCTATCTAGAGAGATCGGCTTTAGCAAGGATGGCCAGGCAGAGTTTAAGTCACGGCAGACTATTCACATGGATGCATACAAGTAACTCTATTTGCATCAGATTCTACATGTCGGCTACAGCACTCTGATTGAAAATATTATGAAATGTGGTGGCGTACATAGAAAAGTAATGACAATACATATGTTTAGAGAGTGATAAGAGTGTGTTATATACGTTACATGTGTTCAAAGTACCTGCACTGTAACCATGCTCTATTTTAGATGGGTGAAAAGAGACAGCTACTTACCAGTTGGAAGTCAGAATCTCAAGGCTGTTGCTCAGGTATGTAACTTGTGGATTGGCATGTAATATTCTGGATGATGTGTTTCATACCTCTCATGAATGTGTGATGATAAGTGACTTCGCTATAGATCAAATGATGTATGCACGAGTGTGTTATATATGTCTATATGATATATGCATTCAAACATCACTGTTTGGTGCCCCTCCTAAATGAAGTAATTGATTTTTAATTGATAGGCCAAACTCAGGTACGATCCTGTAGAATTGGACCCCGAAGAGATGTGTAGGCTAGCCGCTGAAGAGCCACAAGTAAATAAATGTTATTTCTATTCAAAACAGAAATGTCTCATATTTAACAGTTAGCTTATATTAAAATTTATTTGCTATAATAATATTTATTATTATTATTTATTTATTTATTGTTATTGCACATGTTACATTAAATGTTCAAAAGCACATTGTTAATTGCTTATAAAATATATATATGTGCTATGTAAATATGACGTGGTTGCAATTGATCACTTTGTCTGGGATTGGACACATTGTGTTGTCATTTGACCACCATGCGGTGTGTCAGTTCTGGCTAGCAAGTTACCCTAACTACCTGTTATCCCTGCCAATAAGAATCCCCGTGCAAGATTGATCTTCAACCATTGTCCTCCAGCATTGGAGGTACAGTCAGAAATTGCTCTCGTTTGTGAAGCTGTTATAATGACTGTCTTGTATCGTCTATAGGTTCTTGCCAATTACTCTGTGTCCGACGCTGTGGCGACGTACTACCTGTACATGAAATATGTGCACCCCTTCATCTTTGCACTGTGCACTATAATCCCCATGGAGCCAGATGAGGTACTGTCTCTGAATTATGTACACACATGTGCTACACCAGCTGTTTGAAATGCTTATAAATATCAAGAAATCTCCATAATGGTTTATTTATATTTTCTAGGGTCCCACTGAGTGACTCAGAGTGTATGTGCAGTTTACTAAACAGTGTTATGCAATATGAAATAGCCATATATAGAGTTAGTTATGTACCAATTATTCTTATTGGTACAGTCATTATTATTGTTATCGTTATTACAGTTTTTAGCATTGACATATTACCAAGATATAATTTCCTTCCCTCGTCCTTTCATTTGCACTACACCGGTCTATAAATTTGAATCTGCTTTACGTTGAATTCATTCCGACAATAACAACAGCAGCGACGACAACAGGTTCTTACCGCCATCTTCTTGCCTCACCTTCCGATGCTGCATTGCAGGTGCTGAGGAAGGGCTCGGGCACGCTGTGTGAGGCACTGCTAATGGTGCAGGCCTTCCACGCCAACATCGTCTTCCCGAACAAGCAGGAGACGGTGCTGAGCAAGTTCACGAGCGATGGACACCTGCTCGACCACGAAACGTATGTCGGAGGTCACGTGGAGGCACTCGAGGAGGGGCTGTTTCGTGCTGACATACCCTGCAGGTTTAGAATGGTGAGTATGCCTAGCCGACATACCCTGTGCGTTCAGAATGGGGCATATGCCTAACCAACATAACCTGTAGGTTTAAAATGGGACATATGCCTAGCCAAAATACCTTGCAGGTTTTAGAGTGGTGCCTATATATATGCCTAACCAAAATACCTTGCAGGTTTAGAATGGGACATATGCTTAGCCAAAATACCTTGCAGGTTAGAATGGTGCATATGCCTAACCAAAATACCCTGCAGGTTTAGAATGGTGCATATGCCTAACCAAAATACCCTGCAGGTTTAGAATGGTGCATATGCCTAGCCAACATATCCTATATGTGCAGAATAGTACGTATGCCTATAGAGATTTAAAAAAAATTCATTGTGAGAGTGGGAGAATGGGAGAGCACAATCGTGAAAAGTGTAATGACCCTATAAATGTTATGATGACCTCTGTAATACGTTTATCACTGGGTACATCGATCTCAACCCTTGTCTTGATGAAAGCTTAAGACACACATCAAACGAAAATGAGGAAGGTGGTTTTACTTTTGAGTTTGTTTGTCTGATTGTTTTTTCTGTATCTTTTAGGTGCCAGATGCATTTCAGGGTCTGTTGGATAGTGTTGAAAGAACCATGCGTCATGCAATAGAGGAGGAAGAAAAAGTTCCACTAGATACAGTTACAACTTCACTGAGGTACACTGACTAACCCAACACCACCTAACAATTAAGCATAAAATAATGTCTGCATTAGCCTGGTAATCAAAGTTGGAGCTAAAGCTTACTTTGCTGTCACGATCTCCTTGGAAGTGGTTTATATTCAAAATTATGTTTTTTTTTATTTTGTTTTTAATGGCCTTGATTTTTGTAAAACTGTTCTCAGGTGTGTAAGGAAATAAGTGGTCAGCTCACCAGCTTAAGAGACACGCCCAACAGATTGGAGAACCCAATTATTTATCATCTGGATGTTGGTGCAATGTACCCCAACATTATTCTTACAAATAGACTGCAGGTACCCTAAATAATTTATGCAAAATCCATATAACCTAAGCTCATTTTGTGCTACAATAGTTAGGTACCCTGTATTTCTTTTGAAGCCAACATGGCCTAACATTCCTAATGAAAATCCAAATGCCAAATAACCCCACTGTATCTTCCTATACAACAACGTTTCGATTTGGACTTTTTCTGTGCTACCAGTGAGCGCAAGTTTCTATTTATCCACCTATCCGTTATTTATGAGCAATGTTTGCATGTAGGAATGTGAGCAGAATTAAATGTTGGTTTGTTCTCTGTAGCCTTCTGCCATCGTGGATGAAGCTACGTGTGCTGCTTGTGACTTTAACAAGCCGGGTGCGCAGTGCCAGCGTGAGATGGCATGGACCTGGCGAGGGGACTTCAGTACGTACTCAAATGATTACTCATGATATATAGTTTTGAAGTGTAAAAGAATAAAAGTACATGCACTTTTAGCATGGTTCTCAGTTAAATTGGGGGAGTTTATTTGTACTACATACACATTAGTACTTGATTTAATAGTAAAGTTCAAATGTCTTTCAATAGAAATTATTAAAATTAAATGTCGTGTTTGCACACCTCAACAGTGCCTGCCAGTAGGAATGAGTATCACCGAATTCAACAGCAGCTCGAAAACGAGAAGTTTCCGCCGTTCTTTCCTGGTGGCGCACAGAGGGCGTTTCACCAGCTGTCTAAACTTGATCAGTCAGCTCAGGAGAAGAAACGACTTTCGGAGTACTGTCGCAAAGCGTACAAGAAGGCGAAAGTGACCCGAGAAGAGCCCAGAGTCTCCACCGTGTGCCAGAGGGAGAATTCCTTCTACGTCGATACGGTGCGAGCGTTCCGCGATCGCAGATACCAGTTCAAGGCTCTCTTGAAGGTTAGTCATGATTTTCGTGTAGAGCTCGTGAATGCAGCACAATCTTTACTCTCATGATATTTTGTGCATCTTTCTTGTACCAAAAGTAAGGATAGAGGCGGAAGTTCACCGGTTTTCAAAGGGCCTGTATAGAACGTCACTTAACAATTGTCACCCGGACATGATCTAATAAAGGAGGGATGTAAATAATTGTTACGTCGATACTGAATGTGCACGTCTTGCAGCCAATTTGTAATTGCGATTTTATTAGATGGTCATGTGTGAGACATGTTTTTATCTAGGTCTGGAAGAAGAAGGTAGCAGCAGCAATGGAGAAGAATGATGCGGCCGAGATCAAAAGTTCGAGAGCAAAAGAGGTTCTATATGACTCTCTGCAGCTGGCTCACAAATGTATTCTCAACTCTTTCTACGGTTACGTGATGCGAAAGGGGTGCGTATGGCTGTCCACCTTGTACAGTGATGGTTGTTGATCAGCTAGTGAACTTCCAAACAGATAAAATTATTACGAACCTATCTCGATTTATTAAATGGTTATTAAATTAAATTTGTCAAACGTACGAATGACCTGTCAAGGTAACAGTGATAGCTCTCACGAATGCAGTGTTTTGTACAGCCAGTTAAATCTATGCTGAATTAAATCCTAATTCTTTGTTAGCAGACTTTTATCGTAAGGGATTTCAGAAAGAAATTATGAAAGGATATGGCAAAAATTAGATGTGCGTGTGATTTGCTACTGTAGCTCCCGCTGGTACAGCATGGAAATGGCCGGTGTCGTGTGCCTCACTGGTGCCAGAATCATCACCAAAGCAAGAGAACTCATCGAGCAGATCGGGTAAACGACGAGAAGTAATCATTCAATACAGCGCATACTTCGTGCTGTTAATCATGTAGAATTGAGTAGGGATGGTAGGGAGACCTGTGTGGGCATGATGGCATGTAGCTTGTTTTGTAGTATATTGATGTGACAATGTTGAGTGTAATGTAAATGTAATACATCTTTACTATCTCGTCACATTCAGAAAAGTATGCTGGACAGATGTATACGTTTTGTTACCAGTTGTTTACAGCTAGGATATTGCACTTGAATTTATGTTTTAAAAATACAGTTGAGTTATGAAACCTCTACCTGGTATCTCCTTTAACCCATCCATTCATCCACCAATCCGTCCATTCATCAAGCTATCTATCCATTCATCCATCGATCTATCAATCTATCTCTTCCTGCCGAACATTTTACGTGACATGGCATGCTTACAGACGACCTTTGGAGCTTGACACTGATGGAATCTGGTGTGTTCTGCCCGCGTCGTTTCCGGAAAACTACGTTATAAAGACCACCAATACCAAAAAATCCGTCACGATCTCTTATCCTGGTGCTATGCTGAACTTGATGGTGAAGGTAGGTGTTGTAGAAGACAGTTAAGCATTTTTTTGTTTTCAATAACAGTGACATAATTGGATGAAGGTAAGAAGTTAGCAGATTGTCCCAGCTATGAAATATGATTGTTCTTTTCTTATTGATCTATCATTTAAGCAACTGTGACACATGGGAATCTGTTGTAAATTATGTTGCAAGATCGAGGATCATAAACAGACTGGAGATATCTATGTAGTAACTGATAGGTTCAACTCTCATTGATTTTGGAAATTTAATAATTTGGAACAGAATCTGATGGAGTGTGAGAAATTGATTTTGGATAATGTAAAATTGCTAACATTGAAGCACATAGTACAATTGCTTGTGTACGACATATTCAGGATGACTACACCAATCATCAGTACCAGGAGCTGGAAGACCCTGCGACTCTCTCCTACAGCACACGCAGTGAGAACTCGATCTTTTTCGAGGTAGACGGGCCGTATCTGGCGATGATCCTGCCTGCATCTAAGGAGGAGGGCAAGAGACTGAAGAAAAGGTGGCTGACCGCGAGTAGATCGGTTTTTTGCTCCTCGTGTTTTTCTTACCTCCATCACTCCTCTACTTATAGCTAATTGTTAGGGATGCCCTGGGCTACGTAGGTGAAGTGTATGAATGACATTTACTCTTACACTGCTCTTACAACACTGTAAATCAGCTCTGCATGTTCGAACCATCTCGTACGTATGTGTAAAGTGCGTGTTCGCTGAACACATGTTGTTTATTCCAGATATGCGGTGTTCAATTTTGATGGTTCTTTGGCCGAGCTCAAAGGATTCGAAATAAAGCGCAGAGGTGAACTTCAACTGATTAAGGTAGCGTATTTTTGTTGTATGAATAGTCCGGGTGTAGGTTTTACTGCAGGTATTTACATATGTGTGAGAAATGAGCTTAAATTTCGAAACTATATTATTTCATCAACTGCCTGACTCCACTTATTAACAACTCAAAATGTAATATTCAATTTCTTTGTGAAGATTTTTCAGTCGTCGGTATTTGAGGCCTTCCTGAAGGGCAAGACCTTGGAAGATGTCTATCAAAATGTAGCAAAAGTTGCCGATTACTGGCTGGATGTTCTCTTCAGCAAGGTAGCGATGTCTTTTTATGAACAAAATTCACAGTCCTTGTAGATTTATTACCGAACATGCCTGCTAAACTCTGATTGGTCCATAAACTACGGTGGAATTACTGAATTCAGTGATGTCTCACTAAGATGACATGTTATTGTATGGAATTAAGTATCTATATTAATAGAAATGTAAAAGCTAAAGATTCAACGATTAGTTGATTCCGATTAGTTCACGTTGATATAAGTTAACTTTCAATAAATTGACAGTTATGGGGTGGTCTTATAGAATTGAATATAGAATTTTTATTTTTATTTTTAGAAGTTTATGTGAATTTGTTTATCGTTGTAGGCTTCTAACATGCCAGATTCCGAACTCTTTGACTTGATATCAGAGAATCGTAACATGTCGAGAAAACTGGAAGATTACGGTGCGCTAAAGTCGACTTCAATCTCAACAGCCAAGAGACTTGCTGAGGTACATTGTATTATGCAATCACTGTACCGCTATAAACTGGAAATTATTATGTCTACTAATATCTATCTTAATTCTTTAATTTTTGAATATGTTATAGTTATTTGTTATTTATCATTTATTTGTTGTTATTATTATTTAGTTACAAATTATTGGTTATGGTGTATTTCATTGGTCATGCCATATTAATAGTTTTTTATTATTTGTGATGTATCTAGTTCTTAGGAGATCAGATGGTGAAAGATGCTGGTTTGAGTTGCCGATTCATTATCTCTAAAAAGCCGGAGGGAGCTCCCGTCACCGAGCGGTACAGTATACATTTCTTCAGGAAATTCTTCTGCTGTCTTGCCATTTATGTGTGATTATTAGAATGCCAATTAGTTGACATTCCTCGTCACTATTGCACCCAGATCTCGTGTGTTCATGCATCCCACTTCTTTCTTTGCAGAGCAATTCCACTGGCGATTTTCCAAGCAGAGCCAGGTGTGAAAAAGCATTACCTTCGTAAGTGGCTAAAAGCATCGGCCATGATCGATTTCGACATCCGAGCTGTAAGTAGAAAAGGAAACACATGTCATCTAATAACAACATTTAATCTATGGTTCTATAAATATTACAGAATAATAAACAGCTTTGTTATGTTAAAATGTTTAACAATTAAGTATATATATTAAGTAAGTATTAAGTAATGAAGTAAGTGCAGGTTATTCATATCACATTCATTAGTTTGTGAAATAATGTGTTTTCCCAACGTTACAGATTCTAGACTGGGATTACTACATTGAGCGGATAGGCAGTGCCATACAGAAAATCATCACCATCCCAGCTGCTCTACAGCATGTAAAGTATCTTCCTTTATAGTGCGAACTATATTTGCAGTGATATTTTACCATCGTGTGGCTGGTCATGGGACTGAACATTGACAGTGTTATTTTAATCCTGTGTGGCAGGTCCCAAACCCTGTTCCCAGGGTGCCTCACCCAGAGTGGCTTCATAAGAGGCTGATGGAGAAGAATGATGTCTTCAAGCAGCGGAAGATCAGCGATATATTCTCGGTCAAAGAAAGACCAGCAGAGGTAACTGTATGCTCTGCAAATTCATAGGGAAAATGCACAGGTACAGATTGTTCAGCCAGCTCTTAGCCAACAGAGTAACACTACCTACCTACCCAGGTTTGTCGGCTAGGTAGGTAGGTTGATAGATAGGCTTTATACTCGACGTTGGTATGTAGAAGCTACACAATGTTCATTCGATTGCAATCAAAATGCACGGTTATACAGCATGATCAGCAATGTCACAGCCACAACTACTACCATTATAATATTTTCAGCTAACCTGCTGCCATGTCTATATGGTTGCGATCTAATCTGCTCAGTCTAAATGAAATGCACATCCGATGTGTGTTGAGTTCATTCCGTTACTGCTCAGCGATAACCATGTAAACCGTGCATGGAAGGGCATTGAAATCTTCATTCCGAAGCAATAGCCAGTTGATACATTTTTATGTCTAGGGCGATAGTGGCACGGCTGATGTTGCTGACATTGAGGATGTGCTGGGTACTCCGCGCAAGCCTCCCGCTGTGCCTGTGGTCTCCGTGTCGCAGAAACGTAAGAGAAACGACGATGGTGAGTCACAAGAGGACCTGAGTAAATCCTGGAGGATTACACTGGGATCACCGCCTCGCCTCGGCACTCAGGTGAGAGAGATTGTGCCGCATTAGCACCATTTTTGTGCCTAACTTAGACGTGAATGTGGCACTGCGTATTGCACGCAGGTCTGTGGCTGTGTGGATGAAGGGCATTTGCATGGATTTCGAAATCGCAGCTGGCAGAACGAAACGGTTTACATGTTATAACCGGTGTGGTTACTGCATGTAGTTTAGACAGAGAGCTATAGATCACACACATCTCTCCTATTTGTTATCTGCTTAAATGTCTGTTTAATAAAATAGTTTATGTTAAACTCTTAAATGGGTTGTAATAGCTAATTAACGAACATGAAAGAAATTCCTGTTAAAATAAGATGCCAAATGTATTACAGATAGGACAGGTGTGGTACAATATAATTTTGCGTTTTGCAGGCAGAGCGAATAATTTGGATCACATTCCAAAAGAAGAAGTGGGCCCTCCAGCTGAGGCAACGTGCCGAGCGAAATAAGAAACGCCGTCTGGCGGCAGGTGATGCGGTTGCTACCGGTAACGTAGTGAGACACAGCACAGGGACAGGCATGCACGGTTTCATTCGTCGTACAGCTAGGGCTGTGGTTGACTTACCCTGGCAGATCATACAGGTGCGTGACTCACAGATGATTAGTCCGTGTACAATCCTAACCTTATTTGGTTTATTACCTAACTTTGAATTACGTATTTGAAGTAGAAGCAAGCATTGCTGTGAACGTATGTATACTGGATATGTATGTTCATAGCGTATTACTGAGCTGCAGTAAAACACTAGGCTTATACTATATCTGTATAATTTTATGGAGGTGTGTTTTCGTATTGTGTCAGCGTTCTTCTAACATGAGATGTTTGTGTGCTTGTAGATTGCTGAGACGGGTCAGCCAGGTCAGTACAAAGTGTGGGCTCTGATCGGCACTGATCTACATGCCATCAAGCTCAATGTTCCTCGGCTGTTCTACGTCAACCAGAGAACAGCGAAGGAAGGAGAGGGAGAAAGTAGGTTATTACGAATCAGCAGAGAGGACTAGTTACTGATATAAGAGCATGCTGCCATGCTGTCTGCTACATCACGTACGTGGAACAGTTGTTAGCAGGAACTGTAGAGAGCCTCTCACTACAGACGGAAACTATTACAGCGTTATTCAGAATTTTAAAACTCGTCATCTAAATAATACTGTATTTTGTACTTGTATTTGTTACAGTTATAATACATTACTAATTTACTATAGAATGTGCCGTTTCTGTCTGAATTTGTGAGGTGGCACTGTGAATATTGTGAAAAGAGAAATAGGCCTACATATAATAACTATTGTAATTTCATGATTTTGTAATACTTTCCATAATTTAAATTTGTTGCTTTTCACTATTGTGATTGTAAAGTTGGATGTAGGGTAAAGTTTTAACTCACGTACGCTTCCACATTCTTTGCGCAATGACACGAAATAATGTATTCTTACGACTAAGAATATAAAAAGTCACTAAAATTGTCACCTGGTGCATTAATTAGTATATGTGGTTCTGATTGCATTCTATTCATTATAGTCACTTATCTATATTTGTATTATAATTTACCATGTGTTGCAGTGTGGAGAAAAGTAAACAAGATCCTGCCCAGGTGTAATCCCGTGCTCAATCTATACGAGTATTCAGTGCCTGAAGATATATACCAGCAGCACATCAAGTAATTAATATATTTTTAATAATTTTAACTAGGCGCAGAATAATGATGTTAACAGGTTAATGGAGATGGTAATTGCAATGAATGGACTAAATGCTCTTCTCTATGTATGTTCCCTGGTGTACAAGCAAGAGAGTATGAATGAAGTAATTTCTTCTCCCTCATTTTATCTATGTCTGCTTGTAGCTATATAGCAACATTGTGTGATCTTTATTGTATCAGAATGTACATAAAATGTATAAGTCGTTATCAACGTAGATAATGCTATATGTGATGACAAATCAAATATGCGTACTATCGTGAACTATACACTATGTACCTACTATTAATAATAACAACAACAATAATAATAATAATAATAGTACTGTAGTACAGTAACTAATATCCTACAATTATGCATACAATATGTACATATCATAACGTTAGGAGTGATGTTCATTGTGCTATGTATAGTTGAGACCATGACCGCTTGTAAATGTACGTTTGCATATTGTGTATTTCACCACAGTGAGATCAGCACTGACCTGTCCTCGCCTGACACGGAGGGGGTGTACGAGACGCAGGTACCGATGCTGTTCCGCACGCTGGTCAGACTCGGCTGCGTGTGCATGGTCAGCAGGCAGCACTCAAAGTACATGTCAGCCAGGGTGAGCGCATCGCAATCTCTCGTCATGAGTGTGCTTCCTCTGAGTTGTATATATATATGTCATGTATATAGTATACAATTTTATGGTGTGTGCATGCGTGCGTGCATGCATGCACACGTGTGTGTGCGTGCATGCTTGTAGGCATGTTACTCTTGTCATACTATGATTTATTGCTGTGATCATTGCTCTGGTCATTGATGTGGTCATTCCTATGGTCATTGCTCTAGTCTTTGCTATGTTCATTGCTCTTGTCATCACTCTGATCATTGGTATCGTCATTGCTCATTTATGCATGGTATTTCAGGACGTAGACACGTTTGAGATAGACCAGCTGGAGTTCAAGACTCTGGCTCAGCACAGCTACCTAGAGCCTGGGAGCATCAAACATATTTACTTCTACCAGTATACACAGTAAGGAGAAAATTGCTCTACTGGTGAATTGCTCTCTGTGGTGAATTGCTAACGAGCTAAACACTTAATTTTAACATGTAACTAACACTACCCTCAACTGAATGATTAATAAAATATAAAAATGTGATAAATATCTAATGCGAAATTTAAATCTAGTATTTGCAGTTTACTTGACACCAGTTTTCTTGTAGTTTGGTGATGTGTTGTGATGCTGAGTTTTGGCTTTCTATTTTCTTCAGAGGCCACAAGTCTTTGCTCGGGCTGTTCTTCCCAATGTGGAAGAAGGCGTATGCGTTTGTCGTGGACACAGTCAGGACCAACCAGATGCCTAACCTCACAACACTCTACAGCAGTGAAAGAAACACCAAGTAATTGCTACATATTATTATACTCACAATGATAATAAATACGACTGTAGTCATCGTAGGCAGGATTATGCGCAGTAAAATCACATTTTACGCACGTGGGAGAGAGAGCAAGCTGAAATGCTATTAACTCTACCTCTTTGTGTAGGTGCTGGCCTCACATAATCTGCATTCTGTCAGTCCCTTCTTGCGCAGTCAATCAACTAAGCAGAAAAATTGCAGCCACACGTCTCTGTGTTCGACAGGCTCGCGAAAGGAACGGCGGAGGAGCTGCTGCCACCTGGCGACCACACGTACGAGGTTCGCGTCGAGACGGAGATGCGGCACGTCCATCGCGCCGTGCACCGCCACCTGACGGCCTACAAGGACGAAAAGCGCGGTCCGACCGTCATCGCCGTGCAGTCCCAGCAGGACTTTGCGCATCTTACAGCTTCCATGCCCGTCATGGCCGACTTTCCCCTGGTGCCGGTCAACGTTACCGATGGGTATGCAAGCCAGATGTGGCGTTTACACGTATGCGTGAATTAGGTTCACATGTTCGGTTCACGCAGTTAAGAGAGAACTCTAGCCATTCAGCATTAAATTGTGATAGGTACATCGATATATAGGTGATCACGGCAAAAGGGCGTGTATGTGTGAAAAACGTATAAACTGGTCTAACTGGACAAACCTAACATCACTGCTCAAGAGGGGGCATGGTTATTTTATTCAGTCCATATTTTTGAATGGAAGCTGTATGATCGAACGTTTGATGTGGGTGTACCTCAGCACTAAGTTGGAAATTTTTGTGATAGTTTGTCAGTTTTTATGCATACACGTGACATTCACCGTTTATTTCACTATTACACTGCTTGTGTTTGATCTCTAGTTTCTCGTAGGGAAACACACAAGTTCAGTTATTATGATCAAGTAAAGTCTTATAAGGGAGAGGGCAATTTGTAGAATTCCATTTGTTGGAACTTACTTTTGAGAGTTTTAAACTCAAAATTTCACCATTAATACATTACATACTATCGAGTGTAGAGGCTTAGTATGTATGATTCGTACTACTTTCTATTTACAGAGATGGATTATACAGTGTGCTGGACTGGCAAAGAGTTGGTGCAAAAAGAATGATCCAACACTATTTGAACGTGGATTACATACTCAGCGTAAGCATACTATGTAAAATAATGATTGTAATTATATGAGGCAGGTGTAAGCCATTAACAATTTAGCAACACAGTTAAATATAGCACTTTCTGACCAACCATTTAGATAAGATGACAATTTCAAAATGGGAAATTGTACTTGTGATAATGCACTATATCTATGTAAATGTTTGTACGTTAGTAAGCATGGTGTTCGTCTATCTGACAGCTCATGACAGAACAGTGTCGATACCTCCACATTCCCATCGGCAATATGCCAAAGGACACTGCGCTCTTTGCGGCAGATCTGTTCTTCACTCGACACTTGCGAAAGCACAACCACATCCTGTGGGCATCCCCGACCGAAAGACCAGATCTCGGGGGCAAGGAGAATGATGACAACAGGTACTCTAGCCTCGCTAATGTTGAAATCTAGGATTGCTATTTCTGCCAATTTGCAACTAATAGTGAACTTTTATTTCAGCGAACAGAGTACTTGATAGTTATATGTATCTGTAAAACAAATTCTCACACAGGCTGATTTCTGACTTGGATGAGAAGACCAGTGTGGAGATTAACCAGCCCGGCTTCTATCAGACCATATGTGTAGAACTGGAAATCAACAGTCTGGCAGTGAACTCACTCTTGCAGGTAGGCAAACGCACGTGTCTCCATCTGTCTTCGGTTGCCACTGGTTGCATAACAGGGCAGTGTAATTTATCTATCGATGCCATAAATGGTAAAATGGCATACTGTTGAAAACTTGAGCAATGAAATTAGTTCCTCCATCTCCATGTTTCATTGTTGTAATGTAGTTAGCCATATGAGTCGGAAAGATAATCAAGAATACAGTAGTTGGTGGTATTTGGAAGGAGAGAAAGCAGGTGAGGGCAGCAATGTAAAACTGGTGTTATAGAATATAGGGTCACCTTTTGTAATATAAGTCTAAATGTCATGTCTTTTTTTATTTGATCTTTTTAGGTTTTGCTTTCATCTTTCTAAGAAGGCTGGTACACGATTTACAATATTTTTTCCTTGTGCATTATTTCTCAGTCACAACACGTGAATGACTTTGAAGGGACGTCAGCCGGCGTGAGCTTTGACATGATACCACAAGCTTCCATAGAGGACATGGTGGCGGGAGGAAGTAGCGTGGCGAACCTAGCTGCTTACGATGAGACTGCACTATGTTCAATAGCATTCAGGTTTGCTGTTATTATGGCTTAAGGGGTCGTTGTCGTATATGTAGTACCCGAGGTGTCGGCGAGTATGTCGCCTACGCCTACTCCCTAACCCTAACCCTAACCCTAACCCTAACACCCTAATCCTAACCCTAACCATATCAAATAGTTACCTCGGGTACATATTATATGCCATTATACGACAACGACCCTTCGTGCGTTATTATGGAGATTTTTCCTAGATATTGTTTCAGTTTTTAGCTTCTGTTGCACTCATCCTGTCCTGCCCTCAGTGCTTGCATCATAAAAAAAAGAAGCAATTACCTTTGGGAAATTCCACGATGAACCAGTTAATTAAGTGGTTCTCACATACATCCTTACATTGAATCATTCAAGGATCTATTGCATTGTACAGAATACACATACGTCATTTCGTTCAGTCATTCTAAGATCAATTGCCTAATAAAAAATGTCGAGCATTGAAATCTACGAGGCTAATGGATCTAACTATATGGGCAAGGACAGTCGAGGGAGCTAGCTAAATATGAATGTCTCATCATTTGCAGAATAATGAAGATGATGGTGCAGACATGGTTGCGAGAGGTGTCGACGTACGAGAACATCTTCGCTGATCATCAGCTCATGCATTTCTACAGGTAATTGCCTTTGTTAATCAATTAAATAATAAAAATAATAATACAAAATAAAAAATTAATTGTGTAATCTTCTGCCGGATGTATACCATCGTGCCAATTCTAAACGTTAGATGACTAAAGAACAGCACGTTTACTTGGTTTTTACTTACTGCTTTTTTAGTGAATCATCTCTGTAAATACATACATACATTACAGTGTAATGGGTGAATATAAATAGGCATGGTCATTTTCTGGTGATCGGCTTAAAAACACCCAACTATATATTTAATTTGAGAATATTGGAAGGTGGAATCCTAGTGTGGTAACCAGTTCTGTTACAAAGGTTGTAATGGAATGGAAACTCATTTGTATGTACTAGATGTTCTCATAAACTACATTGTTGTTAAAGATTGTCTATTTCCTTCAAGGTGAAAAACAAATACTTGTCAGAAAAATAAAATTCCTCGTAGATAACACTTTGTACTTTCACAAGTGATTAATGAAATTTTTGTCAAGCATACACTTGTTTTTTCTTAGATGGCTGAGAAATCCAAGTGCAATGCTGTATGATCCAGCCCTACACAGAACTCTGCATGGCATGATGGTGAAGTTCTTCATGCAGGTATGTCCTGTTGTGACGTTTTCTTTGGATTACGTTTCGTTGACTTTGACTTGGTTTTATTTTACCTTCTCCTTAAACTGCATGTATTACATATAAATAAGCAGTATTAGAATACATCTCATTTAACTCTTTGCATCCAGTCAGATGGGATGACGGGCACCAGTAAAAGTATTGTACGTATGTGTACTCTATACCTGCCAATGACTCGTCTACAGTTGGTGGCTGAGTTTAAACGCCTTGGTTCGACGATCGTCTACGCCAACTTCAACCGCGTGATCATCTGCACGAAGAAGCGTAACCGGCAGGACGCGATGGTGTACGTCGACTACATTGTTAACAGCATCCGCTCACGCGACCTCTTCCACAGCATCGACATCCAGCTACAGGGCTGCTGGGACGTGCTCATGTGGCTCGACCCGGTGAGTGCTTTCCACATCAGTGTTTCCCCTGCATTGACACGAGCGAGGCGGGCCGCCTCGCTCAAATTTTTAGCCGCCGCACAGAAATTTGTCCAAAACACACCACCTCGCTGACGAAAATCACTATTCTTCCATAGAACAGTGCTTATAATGCACCAAAATAGCTTAGAACATGTAGAATGCACCATTTTTTCAAAACATTTCCGGGGCATGCCCCAGACCCCCCTGGCTGGGCGAGCACCTGCCGTGCTCGCTTTGATAGGACCTCGAAACGCACAAACAAACCGAAAAAAAAATTTGCCACCTCACAGACCTTTTTGGCCAGGGGAAACACTGCACCTGGTAGTAGAAGTAGTAGCAGTAGTAGCAGTGGTGGCGGTGGGGTCAGCAGCAGTAGCAGTAGCAGAAGCAGTAGCAGCAGCAGTAGATGGCGGGGCGGCGGGGGCAGTAGTAGCAGCAGTAGCAGCAGCAGTAGTAGCAGCAGTAGCAGCAGCAGTAGCAGCAGCAGCAGTAGTAGCAGCAGTAGTAGCAGCAGTAGTAGCAGCAGCAGCAGCAGAAGCAGTAGCAGCAGCAGCATGAACAGCAGCAGCAGTAGATGGCGGGGCGGCGGGGGCAGTAGTAGCAGCAGTAGCAGCAGCAGTAGTAGCAGCAGTAGCAGCAGCAGCAGCAGCAGTAGTAGCAGCAGTAGTAGCAGCAGTAGTAGCAGCAGCAGTAGTAGCAGCAGTAGCAGTGGCAGGGGCAAGGGTGACGGCAGCAGCGGCTGAGGCGGCAGCAGTGGCAACAGCAGACTAGACAAGGCATAAAGACTGTATTCGACAAACATCACGTGGTCATGGATAATGGGCTTTTACAGTCTGGGAATCCACCTACTTTTAATAAACATGAAGTGCCGACAGCCGCCCCTGTGTCGCCAATGTGTCCAGATGTGCCAACTTAATCTAGGTTCATAGGCGCAGACTAACTAGTTATCATATAGTGATCTAGCGAGAAGAATGCGGCCATGCTCGCGGATCGATTATAATGTCCGTGCTTTCACATGTAGGATTTGGAATGGTTCATGATGTCCTGCTTGTTGCTACATTTGTCAAGAGGCATGATCAATCTGGGTCGTGTGTGCATGTTTACATACGTGATTTTGAATAATTCTGTTTGCCTTTTGTACAAACGGTTATTTTTCAATTTCTTTATAAGACAAACCATGGTGGAATAAGGGGAAAGCTGCCCGAGGATGAGGGAGAAACCAAGCTGAATAACGAGGAAGAAGAAGAAGGAATGGGAGTAGCACTCTCACAGAACTCGAATACTGAAGAGGAGGGGGTAAGTCATTTTAATTTACGTCACCATACTCGAGTCAATTGAAAGAATGTAAGGTTGACAAAATTTGTTAATGTTGATGAAATTGAAATAGGGCTTCAGGCTCCAGTGTAAATCAACCCGTTTCTATGTGAGTTACAATTGGAATAAACAGTAGTCTGTAAAATATGATGTTGTATTAATTATTGAGGATTATGCTGTCACTGTTTTACAGCCAGAGGTAGAGATGAACTGGAACATTGCCAACTACCTTCCAGAAGAATGTGCTTGTCAAACGAATTACAATGTACGTCGATTATTTATTACTCAAGAAGCATCTTTGTTCATTTCATTTGTTTTATTTGATTGTTCACTTGATTACCCAAGTATCATCTTATTCAATTAGCATTATCGTTTGCATGAGTCATCTGTCAGAATATAAATGTTTCTGATCAGGCTTATCTAGTGTTTCTACCCTCATTTGAATTACCAGCTCTGACCACTCTTATCATAGTATGAAGTTCACTTTTACATGTCTGCATATTTTGTTTCATTTAACATGCGAGTGTATCTAAACTTAGATCGTAATTGGAGGCTACATAGTAGAAGTGTATCAGCATGGCCAGAAGGAACTGCGTCAAATCACACCTGGAAATACACCTGTAAGGAGAAAACGAGCAACACAGTCCCAGGTACGTGCATTACTTTGAGAACACACAAAAGAGAAGCGAGGCTTTAGCGTGGCATTCAGTGTTTGACTGCATATCTTTATCAATGTTTTTACCAATTTCGAAATAAAGAAGATTTTGTGATGTCTTATCTCATATTCATTCCTAAGTAATGAAGTCGAATTGTGGCGTGAACCAGAAATTTCACATTATGTTGCAGAACATCGATAACACGACAACTCCTAGCACTGTGAGCTTCTCACAGGAGTTAATCTCTGAAGAAATGACTCAGCGCCTGTTTTCGTACGTTCAATACATACTTTTCACTCATCTAGCGATCAAGAGGAATAAAATTTAACTGAAACATAGCAAGCGGAAAACCTACTTGGTTAGGAGAAGGCAGAGGGAATGACATTTTCTGTTTTTTTTTCTGTAGTTTATAATACATACTGACATATATATTACTTTCACTAATGCAAGTCAATCTGCTAATTTATATATTTCTTGTGATATGCCACCGTGCTGTAGACATAGCTGTTATTCTGTGATATCTTTCTATAGGTAGCTATAGATTTATATATATATAATCAGAAGTAGATAATAGGGAACTATTGCCTATTATCTACTTCTGATATAATCTAATAGTGGTAATGCAATAACAGCTCCTGTCAAACTAGCTAACTTGCATTTTTTTACAAATTTTCTAAATAATTGCATTTTACATTTTATATAATTCGATATTTATGTTGTCCATACATAGCATGACTCAAAAAATACAGAAGAAACTATCTGGTAGTCATGACGACATGCAAGACGTTTTCCCCAAATTACCGGGGTCCCATCTTACTGACCTCAAGTCTCCAGCACTAGAATTTGTCAAGGCAATATGTCAGGTGAGTAGTTACTTTGTTAATTTATTAGCATATGTATTGTTTAGTTAATCTAACCCATTCAATTTATTACATGTTAAAAAATATATCAATAATTGGGCATTTACAGCAAATTAATGAACATTTTCCACAAAAGCTTTTGTTATCACTAATCGAGCGTGCTTAACCATCCCTGTATTAAATAGATATATAGGTGTTTAATGTTTGAATGGAGAAAAATATTTCACTTTTCTAACTTTCAATCTACCATTGGTTGAGTTCACATTCTGAATTATTATATGTGTGTTATCTCATGTCAGGTGCTATCATTGGATGCGAGCATTGTAAACCAGGTGACAAAGATGAGGCGAGATCTACTGAAGCTGGTTGGTGTCGGGGAGTTCTCTGATGAAGCCATATTCAGGGATCCCTGCCTATCCTATGTGCTGCCAGAGGTACCTGATCACGTTTATCACATCATCCATACATGTACATATGTTAGCAATTGTATGTCACCTGGTATATACCATAGATGCTTATATTTACTTGGTTCTCGAGTTGTTTTTACTGTCGTAATTTCTTCGTATTTGTTTATATGTTAGGACTATTTTATGTGCCTTCTGGTCTCATTTCACGGGCATTGTTTGGTAGGTTATCTGCAAAGTGTGCAATCACTGTAGAGACTTGGACTTGTGTAGAGATCCTTATTTGCTACAGGATGGAAGCAACACGTACGTATTGAAAACTAAGTAGGCAGTTAGATTTGCAGCATGGGAAAATCATTAGCACAGAATGTAATTAAATAACAGTACTTAAATAAAGAATTTAAGTATGCTGTTTTAATTCCTATAACTACGTGGCAATTCTATAATTACATGGTGATTATAGGCATGCATGCCTACAAGCAAAGAATGTTTTGTTTTTCACATGTAACGGCAGTACGATATTTAGTATTATACACCGTTTAAGGGAAATTTGTAAAATTTTGATTTTCTTGAGAGCTACCGAGTTCGACATTTCTGCTTACTTCCATTACTTCGCCATTTTGTTCATAAACTGTGAATCTTAAACAGTCGGGTAATGTTCTCGTTTGCTGCATACAGTGTGGCGTGGCAGTGCATACAGTGTCACAGTGAATACGACCGCAATGCGATAGAACAGGCTCTCATTGACGCTGTACAGAGCAAGTCTATGGGCTTCGTTCTACAGGATCTGAAATGCATCAAGTGCAATGCAGTAAGTTTATTACCTCCCCGGTACTGGAAGGTTGTAGTTCTACCCATGTGGCCCTTCACTTCACAACATGTTGCGTAACGGAGGGCTACGTGAGTAAAGCTAGGGAAATTATGTTACAAGGTGTGAGAGAAAGGGTAGGTCGATGTATGGTATGAAACGAGGTGAGTGTTGATGTAAGGTGTAGAATGAAAGGTTACCAGTACATAGCTATATAACTATAATTAGATTAGGCTAAATTACGTATAAATAAATTCAAACGATCTGTACATTAGAATTTTCCAGGCGATTACTGAGATTGGCAGTATTACGAGGGGCTGTATAACGAGGTTTTACTGGTTTAGATTAGATTATTAGCACAATAGATAGATATGTAGTTTACATGATGAAAACCAATAAATGATTGAGACTATTAAATGTGAATAGTGATGACAATTGTTATGGTATTATCTGCACAGGTGAAACAGCTGAATATGTCGTACTACTGCGAGTGTGCAGGTGACTTCACACACACTGTCTCACAGAAAGACTTTACAATAAGAATGAGAACATTCCATAACATTGCCAGGTATATATGCAGCACAGGGCTCTGTGTTCCTATTTTTTATCTTATTTTCCCCGATTTTCGTATTTTGCTAGATATAGATGTTAACTAATCTCGGCTATTTTTCTTGCTTGATGCTATTGTTGAATTACACCTTTTCTTTAGACTATCTACCCATACCATGCGTTGTTCTGTAACTATTTGTCACGATACCATAAATCACACACATGTATCATATTTCTGTAGAGTGAAAGCTTTGTTTCAAGACTTGCAATCATTTTCAGGTACTACAACATGGAGTTGCTGAAGGAGACACTCGATTGGATTACGGTTATGAACCCCAGTCTGCAGAATTAACAACAGTAGCAGCATCACCATATATTGTAACATTACTGGCTACTGCATAGAGTGATTACTGATTGTACTGTAGTATAGTCATGTTTTAAAATTATTAGCAGGGGTCTGATAAAAAAAATTCTGTATATATATACTGTAGTAGTTGAAAGAACAAAAAACATTTGATATTTACACAAATGTGATTTTTCTTATGTACAGCAGTGACAGTAACCAATTATTGTATGTGTACATAAAAATGATTCCATGAATGTTCAGGAAGCTAAAAGCTTCATGAAAGCTTTCTCACTTCATAATCCTGTGTGTGTGCTGTAGCAAATGATGTTGTCATAGAGCGGATTACAAGGGAAGTGGCATTAGCTTCTTGCACATAAGAGAAAAAAAAAGAATAAATTAGTTCAGAGAAAGGTATACATTGTAAAAACCACCTTTGTTGAGAGAATATAATCAAACACTTTGTATTTAATTATGCAATTTTCAATCGTCATAATTAACAATGCATGCTCACAACAATATAAAAAATTTACTGTTTCAGAGAATGGTAATTTTGCATTATACTTATAGTGGCATCTATACACAGCAAATAAATGTACTTCAGTAAAGCTTTGCATTTAGGCAAGGTGTGGATAACATAAAACACAACACCCAACTATAACTACAATTTAGAAAGTTGAATAAATTCATGTTCAACCTTATACATGACTGCAATTTTGATTAGCCAGTATAAATTTAGAACTTTTGGAAGTTTTTAATGGTTATATCGTCTAAAGAACTAGTAAAATGGTCAGATAAACTCTCTAGAGCTGATTATTAGCCATACCCTATATGGCTTGCAGATAATACACTTTGGGAAAACTCGACATTGTTACTGTCACAGTTCACAATTTCAGTAGCATTTTGAACAATTCTGTCAAAAATATAAACAACAACTATCCTTGAACATTATCATACAAACTGTTTCTTCAATATCAGAAATAAACGTGACATATTCCTATGTCTAGTGCCACCCTCTCACCTCCCCACATCAAATGAACTCAATATAGACCTTGGAAAAGTCGTTTAGAACTCCCTTTTCTTAGAACCTTTATGGCTTCCAATTATATATTATACAAATACATTGCACCATTTAACAAGGCACAGACACCAGTAAGCACTTATAATGCGTACAATAACCAGCACTGTGGTAATATATGATATGCACACAAACGTTTCACAAACACATATAATAAATGAACACTTTCCAAAAACAAATTTCCCCAGTATCATAAAAATTGTTCATGCCATGACATGTCTTTTTGTCATGGTTTTTTAAACTGGGCTAATAAAAACCAAAAGTATTAAATGGCTCGTTTTTTGGCACAAGTGCTTTTACATTTTTAGCAAATGTGAGAATAATGCTGGCAAGAAGACAAGCTATAATTATCAGTTGGCATGTAAACAATTACCTTTAAAATGCATAAGTCTTTACAGAAAGACAACTAATAATATCTTCCATAAGAAGAACCTAAAAAGTATTGATATTGTAAAGTAAAAATGTTTTCAAAAAAATATTAAACTTCACAATGAATTCATGCATATATATATAGTAATTTCAAAATGGCTCTCTCCATTGCAGCTTTTAGTGAAAAACTGGAAGTGTTTTTATGAACTAATAAAAACACCTACCTCACAATAAGCGTTTTCCATGCTACCGTGCTATTTCCGTGCAATATTTACCCACCACTACACCCTAAAATTTCCCTTTCTAGTTTTCGATAAAGCTCTGATACTAGACATTGAATCAGTGATTGAATCACATAGACCCACTACCTAATAATAGACACATTACATTGACAAACTATCAGGTGGTTTCCTTCCTTTTTCTGTTTTCATTACATGGCAAAGATTCACATTAAATACGGATTAATGTCACTCTGCCACTATCAGTATGGGCATGATACGACCGTATTACATCTATGACAGTAGGTTCACTAGAGTGGCAAGCACGCATTTATAATCTTGACAGTCATTATCACGAGCTACACTTCTGTATACCATGTAATTTCTGATTCACATTTTACGTTTTTTTTAATTAAAAACGCTATCCTGACATTTACACATATTTTCTTCTTTAATTTTTTCGTTGTTTTGCTTTAATATACATATAATGTACATGTATATATTTCTGTATATATATAATATTGTGACAATTTATCTCACTTACCATGTGAGTAGGCCATATTTTATTCAGACATTTATGATTATAAATGATATCAGGAGTAGATAAAGATCCCCAACAAGATCCCCAACAAGATAAAGATCCCCAAGATCCCCAACAATATGTAACGATTTATATCTCAAAATGATACACATGTGGGAACATACATCAAACATGTTTTTTTAATTGTTTTTCGTTGATTTGCTTGTAAATATTCCTGCATATAATAGTATTCAGGCTATTATCTATGTGCATGTCAGAAGGTTGAGAGAATAAAGCCAACACTATTTTAAAGCATTCTTTCGGACATAGCATCCTCTTTTAGTCGTACTATACTTCAAATAAACCTTTGGGGTAAAACAAAATATTTCTAAAATAATGTTATACCTGCATAAATTAGGGGTTATGTGCTTGATAGGAGAAGTGTAAAATATACCTTGCATTTATATTCCAGTTGCTTTACTACTTAGATGAATAACACGATACCTTTCACCAGATACAACTGTTTACATCATCTTTGTTACACAATCATCTGGAATTCTGTTATTTTCCCAAAATATGACCAAAACATGAAAGGGAAAATACATATAACTATAAGGAAATATCTAAACAAGCAATGTGAAGCCGAGATACCACTTCAGTAGGCAGTACACTGTGCGCTTATTCGCGTTTAATTACCACACACATTTCATGATTTTGTCATTCAAATATAATGTTCTATACTTCTTACATCTGATGATCTGACAATAGAAAATATGCCTCACCCAGCCAACTATATATACTTTGTAAGGAAACTTTGAAACGCTGGTATTTTGACACGAATGTGAACTTACCAGTACAACACAATTACAGTTTAGAAGTAAAGTATAAAATTACTTTATAAATGCACTTAATTAGTAGCCGTGTTCACACGTAGCAAGAAATCCGGTATTTAGCGTTCACACGAGGCAAAATACGAGGCCGTAAAAACTAAACAGATCCGGTATTTCATGTAAATACGAGGCTTCCCAGACCCCGAATAATTTACCGTGCTTGAGAAATACCGGATTTCTTGGACCGCGCATTTCCTCGTGTGAACGCTAAATACCGGATTTCTGGAGCCGCGTATTTTATAGACTGGTCCGCGCTCGACAGTTCCAGTGTAACGCGAGTGGAACTGTCGACCGCGGACCAGTCTAT